GACACGGGCCAACTGCAGAACAGATCCTCAACTGATAATATGCAAGTACAAGTTAAAGCTGAATAAAATTAAAACAAGTCCACCAGAGCCAAAGTACAACCTTGAGTATATCCCACCTGAATTTACACCATCTCAATAGATTTGACTTATTGAACAGTAATGACCAAAGACCAGAAGAGGTGTGGGATGGCATCAGGGACATCATACATGAAAAAAGCAAAAGATCATTAAAAAGACAGAAAAGAAAGAAAAGACCAAAACGGATGTCAGAAGAGACTCTGAAATTTGCTCTTAACCATACAGTAGCTAAAGCAAATGGAAGAAATGATGAAGTAAAAGAGCTGAACAGAAGATTTCAAAGTGTGGCTTGAGAAGACAAAGTAAAGTATTATAATGAAATGTGCAAAGATCTGGAGTTAGAAAACCAAAAGGAAGGAATACTCTCAGCAGTTCTCAAGCTGAAAGAACTGAAAAGAAAATTCAAGCCTCTGTTTCAATATCGAAGGATTCTATGGGCAAGAAATTGAACAATGCAGAAAGCATCAAAAGAAGATGGAAGGAATACACAGGATCACTGTACCAAAGAGAGTTGGTTGACATTCACCCATTTCAGGAGGTAGCATATGATCAAGAACTCATGGTACTGAAGAAAGAAGTCCAAACTGCACTGAAAACATTGGCAAAAAACAAGCCTCCAGGAATTGACAGAATACCAACTGAGATGCTTTAACAAATGAATGCAGTACTGGAGGTGCTCACTCTGTATGGTAAGAAATTTGGAAGACAGCGACCTGGCCAGCCAACTGGAAGAGACACATACGTGTGCCCGTTCCAGAGAAAGGTGATGCAACAGAATGCAGAAATTATTGAACAATGTCATTAATATCACATGCTAGGAAAATTTTGCTGAAGAGAGTTCAAAAGTGGCTACAGCCATGCATTGACAGGGAACTGCCAGAAATTCAAGCCGGATTCAGAAGAGGATGTAGAATGAGGGATATCATTCCTGATGTCAGATGGATCTTGGTTAAAAGCAGAGAATATCAGAAATGTGTTTACCTGTGTTTTATTGACTGCGCAAAGGCATTTGACTGTGTGGATCGTAAGAAATTAGCAATAACATTGCAAAGAATGGGAATGACAGAACACGTAATTGTGCTCATGCAGAACCTGTACATAGAACAAGAGGCAGTCAGTCAAAGAAAGCAAGGGGATGCTGCACGGTTTAAAATCGGAAAAGGTGTGTGTAAAGGTTGTATCCTTTCACCATACGTATTCAATCGGTATGCTGGGCAAATAATCTGAGAAGCTGAAATATATGAAGAAGAATGCAGCATCAGTATTGAAGGAAGACTCATTAACAACCTGCATTATGCATATGACACCACCTTGCTTGCTAAAAGTGAAGAGGACTTGAAGCACTTACTGATGAAAGTCAAAGACCACAGCCTTCAGTATAGATTACACCTCAACATAAAGAAAACAAAAATCCTCACAACTGGACCAATAAGCAACATCATGATTAATGGTGAAAAGACTGAAGTATTCAAAAACAGATGCTGAAAACTGAAAGCACAATTGTTGTGTGCTGTGGGCCCATACTTTTACGAATGTGCTTCCGCGATGATTTTTTAATCTTAAAAGAGAGTGTTATTTTACTTACAAACATGATTTCCCAAAATGTTTTCCTCTGGGAAGGTTTTAAATAGGTTGACATAAAAATGAAAGTATATTTATTGTTTTTAAGAAGAGAATTTTTTTTTAAGATAGCTCTATAAAAGGAAGGAGGCAATTTCTAAAAGATTATTTGACATAGTCCTTATATAAGTAGCACATTTCTCACTAGGGGGAGCTCAGAACCCACCAATAAGTGGCAAGACAAGGTAAAAAAAATGCCATTTCACCTACTTAGGGTAAAAACAGTATGTTTGGGTGCATATGACACAGATATCCAGAGGGTGGAAGTTTTTTATATGCCAAATTTCAATTACTAACCTCTGTAATTCTAAATTATAGAAAAGGAATGATGCAAAGTAATAAAGTATTGTAAGCCAACAATAGATAGGGCATTATCCTTATATTCTTAGGGGATAATTCCTAGTATTCACAAGAAAGAACAAACAGTATAAGGCAGTTATAATTATGGGTACCTGGAAAGGCTGCTAGGAGAAATGCAATTCTTGCTCTCTGGCTCCGTTTTCCTGTCTCTGTGTATAACCTGTGGAGTCTCTTCCGCTTTAAAGATTCACCATCTTGGGTACATTTGGGGAAGGGGCGATCTCATAGCCACTCCTAGGCTAGTGTGTCCAGCAGCCTGTCATCCACTGTGTCTCCTCTGACGCTCTCAGCTCTGAAACTCTGGAGCTGCCATCCCTTCCTCATCACAAAGGTGCTATCACCACCTTCACCTCAGCTGCTGAGTCCTTCGTTCCCGGCAGCAGTGTTAACCCAAGACTGTGTGGAATGGAGCAAAGTTTTACTAAAGGATTAGGGTCATTAACACCGTATCTTAGAAGTCTCTTGTCCCCCTAACCCCTGGTACTGGGAACATCTCACTGGCCATTGTTTTCCTCAGATCCCAGAACTATCGTCACCCCCATACTGGGAAGCCTTTCGCTACCTTTGAAATTCTTCACATCTCTCTTCACCCCAGACTAGAGTTATAATATGTCCCATGAAGGTATGTCCCAAATATTGTATGGGTCATACTTATACTAAAACGGTATTTCTCATTCATTTGAAATTCAGATTTAACTGGGCATCTTAGTTTTTTCTAAATCTGTCAATACTACCCCAGAGTCTTCACTCTGCTTTCCTTGCGGCTAGAGGGGAATTACAAAATCCACCCCTCCCCCTTTATTAAGCAAGTTATCTCTATTTCATCCTCTCCCATACAGGCCATGCCCAGGAAAAACACTTTTCTCACTCATCTATCTCCCTTAGAACGCAGATTTGGTTTATGTTTTAAATAGCAGGGTTTTTTTTTTTCTTTATTTCTTTCTCACTAGTGTATTACCTGGAGCCCCGGTGGCACAGTGGTTAAGAGCTATGGCTGCCAACTAAAAGGTCAGCAGTTTGAATCCACCAGCTGCTCCCTGGATACTCTATGGGGCAGTTCTACTCTGTCCTCTGGCATCGCTATGAGTTTGAATCAACTATATGGCAACGGGTTTGGTTTGGTTTGGTTTCCAGTATATTACCTGTCTATTAACACATTTGCATCCAGTAAGTTAGAGTGATTTGTTTTCAGGTTTCATACTATGATTGAACATAGGTGTTTCAGAATTGCTCCATCCACAAATTTAATTCATTGTGTTCATGTTATTTCAGTACATACTGCACACTAGACACTATACTAGTACGAGGATATCAAGAGAGGCTTGTCTGGAGAGGCAGTGTAGTTTAAAATGAGGAAGGGAGCAACTATCCCATATCAACTAATGGCTGTAAACCCAGTAAAAACGTTGGTGATTTTCAAAGGGAGAGAACAGCCTTCCGGAACACCAACATTACATTTAGCTTATCCTTAAATAAACTGCTCCCTTTGCAAGCAACCCTGAGAGTGAATTCTGTCCTACTGCCCACCTTTGAAACTGAGACAAACACCTACCACAATTTTGGAGACTGGTGGGGAACCCTTTTAAGAAGGTGTAGATAGATATCCCCTTATGGGGAATAACTTCTACAGTTAGATAAGCTTAATCACTTGTAAATAGGCTCTTATTAGATTTCCTCTTGAAGATTATTCAGTTTCCAGATTAGGAGGTACGCAATGGCATTTAGATCCTGTAACGATAATGAAGTTACTAAGAACATTAAAAAAAAAAAAAAACTTTCTTAAGGATGATTAATTTATCTTGTATCTGCCCTAGGACCTTACTACTTAAAGTGTGATGCTCAGACCAGCAACCTTGGCTTCACCTGGGAGCTTGCTAGAAATGAAGAATCTTAGGCCCCACCACAGACCTGCTCAGTCAGTATCTGCCATTTCCTCGTAGTCTACAGGTGATTTGAAGAACATTAGACTTGAGGAGCACTGGTCTAGGGCTTAGCACAGTGCCTGAGCTACTAGGTGCATAATAAATGCTGATGTATGGCTGTTTCTTTATGTAGTGCATAAAGGAGCACAGAATTTCCCTCTAATCACAATTATAATCATCTTCCTCATTTTCCTCACCATTTTAAAATCATAGTATACTTTTTGGTTTTGCATTAACTGCTTTGTAGTGTGACTTAGAAGACATTCATTACAGGAATTGAGAATTTTGCATGGATAGATGGTAGACTGAAAAGCACTGGGCCTAATGGAACACTCTTAAGCGCCTCCGCCTTATCCATCGGCTAGTCTTTGGAGTTCCTTCTAGCTATAAGGAGTACTTAGTCCACAGTGGGAAGCTGCCATTCCAGATATCAGAGTATCTCTATTTTCTAGATCTATGAGCCCTGGTGGCACCGTGGTTAAAGTTTAGGCCAAGCCACGGGAGAAATATGTGACAGTCTGCTTCCACAGCCTTGGAAACCCTATACGGCAGTTCTACTTTGTCCTACAAGGTCACTGAGTCGGAATGGACTCGATGGCAAAGGTTTTCTTGGTTATGGGATCCTCTTCACATCACATGCCACCATCCTAACAAAAAAATCTTTCAGGCAGTGCCCGGAAAATAATTTATCTGGATTTAAAAAGAGAAAGCCCTCTTTGCAATAAGTTATTAATAAATTATGAATAACTGGTAATGCATAGCGCCTGACTCCCAGTTTGCACACATAGAGCTTATGGATGCTTCTCTCTGTGGGACTCAACTCGAGGAGGCTCTGGAAGTCACCCGGCTATGGTTTAAAAAACCTCAGCTTGGAAAAAGCGCTTTGCATACCCACGCCTGGGCCCAGGGAACTGGCCTGTCAACTTGATCGAGGGATGAGACATACGCATGCGCACTCCCGCTGGCCAGGAGGAAGCGGGAGTGGACGCCGTGTAGACCGGGTGCGCGCACGCGGCAGCAGGGCGCGAGCGCGCGCCGAAAGTCTAGGCCTCAGGTGTGGGACGCGAGGGTGTGCGGGCTTTCCTGGCCTCTGCTATGTCTCAAAGACCGAAACGGACTTTTCGGCAGCGTCGGGCCGATTCCAGCGACAGTGACGGCGGCAAGGAGTCGTCTACAGAGCCCGGGGCGCCGGAGGGGCAGGCGGCCCCTGGCCCTGCGGAGGAAAAGCCGCCCGTAGTGGCGGCAAGACCGCCGTTCAGGGGCCGGAGGCGAGTCTGGGCGAGTTCCCGGCGCGCCGCGAGAGCGGCCCCCAGTGCAGGCGGCGACCCCGGCGACCAAGGTGACACCGAGAGTGGTAAGGGCACCCGAGATGACGTTAAGGGCGGGGCAGGAGGTGGTCCGCGGGTGCCTGGAGCGTTCTCTGGAAGTTTCTAGGGTCTGCTGCCGACCACCAGCCGCCCTTAGTCGCTGAGGTAGTGAGCAAGACCCCCCCCACCCCGTCTGGGAGCGCTCGCCCGCTGCCTCCATCCCCGTCTTGGGCTACTTTGGGGAGTAAGAGGAATTCTATACAGATTGGTGGCTCCTCTGTGTTTGCATCCCAGGTGACCCTCACTGATTATAGCTATGGTACAACACTTGGTGTTTATGAAGAACCTAAATCACAAAAGAGTTAAATCTGAAGTAAGCAGGAAAGTTATATGTACCTTTTGGAAACTTGTCAATTAAGAATTGAATCTTTCTATTTTAGAAAACGCTTAGCCAGAATGAATAGTACAGTGGAAGAATCTAAGTGACAGGTTTGGGGACATTCTCTTTTGCGTCTTCTCCCTTTTCGTCAGTTATTTGCAAAAACTAGGATGAAAAATAACTATATGTCACTAAGTAGCATGACCAGTAATGAGGTTAAACATGATGCAATAATTTTTAGGTACTGTTGAGTTCTTAAATATGGGATTCTAGCAGTGTATAAGGTTTACGTACAATGTGCTGTTAATACATTTGAATTGGAGTTTAATAAGGAACACGGTTTTTGGTTAATCCTAAGGGAAAAAATTTTCTCCCTGCTATAACTAGTCCATTAAGGCCATCTTGGTGTTTTCTTAGTCATTGTTAGGACCTTGTGTCTGGTGATGGAAGTTTTGATAACTTTTTGTATTTGTTTTTCTACTCTGCAATACCTAAGTCATCTAGTTAAACTTTATTAGCACGAATTGAGGCCAGGAGTTTTTGTTTGTTTTGCCCTCTGAAGCAGTGGTTTTCTAGCTTTTTGGTTTTACCAAAACTAGTTGCCATCGAGTCTTTCCAACTCATAGAGATCCTATAGGCCGGAGTAGAACTGCCCCATAGTGTTTCCAAGGCTATAATCTTTATGGAAACAGACCGCCACATGTTTCTGCCATGGAGCAATTGGTGGGTTTGAACTGACAAGCTTTCAGTTAGCAGCCAAGCACTTCACCACTGCACCACCAGGGCTCCTTTTTGTTGTTGTTGTTGGTTTTTTAAAAAAACACACACAAACCAGCTGCTGTAGAGTCCATTCCAACTCAAAGTGACCCTATGGGACAGAGTAGAACTGCTCCATAGAGTTCCCCAGGAGCGGCTGGTGGATTTGAACTGCAGACTTTTAGTTCAGCAGGCGAACTCTTAACCACTGCACCACCAGGGCTCCTTTTTGGTTGTTGGACTGTCAGACCCCCTTTATACTGTTAAAAATGATTGAGCGTCCCAATGAGATTTTGTTTTTGTGGATTTTATCTATTAATATTTATCATATTTGAAATTAAAACATTTTTAGTAATCCATTGCATGTAAGGATAAGTAATGTATTTTTTTTAATATTGTATTTTTTTGGTGAAAGTATACACAGCAAAACAGGTTCCCAGTCAACAAATTTCCACACATAATGTTTAGTGCATTGGTTACATTCTTCGGTTTGTGTCAATATTCTTGTTATTTCTGTTCTAGTTGTTCCACTCCCATTAATTTATTCTCACTGTCCGCTAGACTTCTCCTCTATGCTTTAGCGTAATGGTTGTCCATTTGATTTCATATGAATAACTTTAAAAAAAAAAAAAAAAGTACAGTTCTCAAGGGTGAAATTCTTTACTTTTTGAGCTAACCTGCTATTTGGTTAAAAGGTGATTTTAAGGGATAGTTCCTGTTCAAGGCTCAAAGAGTATCTCAGGACACTAGATTTCTCCAATCTCAGTGGGTCCAGTAAGTCTGAATTCTTTGAGAATTTGAGGTTCTTGTCCACATTTTTTTCTTCCTCTATCAGAATCCATCTATTGTGACCCTGCTCAGAACGTTTAGTAGTGGTAGTTGAGTGCCATCTAGTTCTTGCAGTTTCAAGGTAGGGGAGGCCGTGGTTCATGGAGATAATTAGTCTTGTAGGCCAGTTCTTTCTCTGTTTCTTGGGTTTCCTTCACTCTCTTTTGCTCCAGACAAAGAGAGACCAATAGTTGTTTCTTAGCTGGCTGCTCACAAATGTTCAAGACCTCAGATGCTAAGTAACATATTTTTGTGAAAAATAATTATTTTTCCAAAAAACAGTGAGGAGAGCAACATTGTTTTTCATTGCAGATCTCTTTAATGTCTTGCCTCATAGAAGACAGCTGAATTGTCATAGCCGCTTCTGTATTCAATCTTTTGTGATATGTTTTGGTTAAAGTATGTGAACAATATGCAGCCTTCACAGATAAAGTGGTTAGAGGAGTATTTAGTAGCCTTTTTAGATTATTGACAGTGTTCTGCTTTAATACTACAATAAAACTCAACAATCATTTTTGAAGGCTTAGTTAAAATATGGTATCTGAAACTGCATCAGTACTTTTTTTGTACTCTGTTAAGTTAAAATCCATTGTCCTGTTTTGCAAGTTGGATGGGTCTTTTACCCTTGCATGATTGCTAACATTGTGCATTGAGTATTTGAAATGTAGTGGTTTGCTGATCTTGCAAATGCTGACACTTTTTATTATACAATATAGAAAAATCACTTTGTTTATATTACAATTAACATCATCAGTCTTTGAGTATTTGGAAACTTTCAGGTTCACAGTGGAGGGTACAAGTTTTTCCAAAATTCCAGTTTTCACTGAAAAGTTGTAATTCTTGAAGTGATAGGCACACTTTGTTCATTTTTGAGAAAATGATTGTCATAATACTCCTAAATAACCAGAGCTTGTCAATCATTCTTTCAAGTAAAATACTGTTCCTCTTCAAAAACAGTGGCTAGTTCAGCATACAGCTCAGTCACACAAATGCTTTTCCTTGAGGGCAGCCATTGTATTTCAGTATGCAGCAGAAGTGCCTTATGCATACATCCATTTTGTCACACAGAATATTAAATAGATGTGTGCTGGAGACGGCCCAAGATGGCGGCTTAGTCACACATACCAGTATGTCCTCCTACAGCAAAGAACCGAGAAACCAAGTGAAACAGATACAGATGACAATCTACGAACCCAGAACAGCAATTGGAAGGATGAAGAATTAGATCCAACACCAAAGGGAAGGAGAAATTGAATGAAAACAGCGAACGAGGAGATTTACAGACGGTAGGCTCCCTGCCAGCCAACCCGGTGCAGCATGGCCATCTTGAGACCAAGTGAGCAGCATTCCTGCATGAGAAGCACAGGAGGGTAACTTCATGAAATCCCCAATAGGAGACAGAGACACTGTGTAGACAAACCCAGAGCAAAACAAGGTGAGCAGAACATGAACTGGATCTAAGGAGGGAAAGTGCAGGAAGATGGGCAAAAGCCCTAGGGACCCAGGTGACCATAGAGCAGGGAGGAGGCCAGAAAATAGGGATAAAACTACTCACCAGCAGCAGCCCCTGATCATTTGGACATGTGGTGCTGGCAGAGTGGAGGATCTTTGTATGGCAGCTAGAGAGCGCCCCAACACATTTGGTCAGGGTCGGGTCCTGATTGCCTGCTGCACTCTGCAGGGAGTACTACGGTACTCAGGCCAGAGACTAGGGGGAACGTGCTTCCCCTCTTCTACCCTCCTCTGCTGTCCTAGTAGCCAGCAGTGTGCTACACTCCACCCTTAACCCTTTCCCAGCAATCCATGATACGTAGTCATGCCATCAGACCTGCGACCAGAGGCTCATGCCTGCTTCGACCATCCCGTGCTGCCATGTCCCCAGTGACTGGCATTGTATGCTCCCATCACCAGACTGGTGACCTGAGGTGCAAGACTCCCCCTCCCCCGCCCCTGCTGCCACGCCTGCCCATCAACCAGCGATGCAAGCTCCTGAGCCACTGACCTGGTGACCAGTGATCAATGCATGCACTCTTGCCCTGACTACCAGCAACCGGCGGTGCATACACACAGTGCCAGACCCAGCAACCAGCAAGAACACTCCCTGCACCCATACCCCAGTGACCAGCCAGGCAGACACATCACCTCATCAGCTATGCCAGTCACATCCTGACAGGTGCCATTTGTACCTCTGCCAAACGACAAGCAGGAAATCCTAGTGCCCTTATCCAGTATCCATCCAGCTGCAGCGTCACATATTCAACACCCGAACAGTTCCTGCAGGCTGTCTGGGTTTACACTAAAACCCCTTGATACCCCACCACCTACTGAGACACTAATTCATGCACGCACAGAGGGCTGTCTTGTCCATTTGGGTAGCAGTCCCTCACAACAGATACAGACATGTCTGCCCTGACCTTCAGAGAAGACACTAACTGCTAACACCAACCTGGAAAGACCCCACAGTATCACAAGAGCTGTGGAGAGACCCTGACCACCCAACACTTGTCACCCAATATCAGGGAAAGAACCTGCTCTCTCATCTCCAGTCAGTCCGGTTAGGGAAGATGTACAAGCCTAACTACAAAGGACTCGCACATGAGTGTGACCCACTATACCCGCTAGTGAGAGGAAGTCACGCCCAGCCAACAGACACCACAAAAGCCACACATAAACCAGAACCACAAAACAGCAACAATTAATACAAAGGAAGAAAGACATTCTAAAGAGAAAGAGACTAAACAAAGCTCCGGATACATTAAAACAAAACAAAAAAATCAGCAGAAAACAAATATACATCTAATAAGTAAAGAAATATATAAATAAATAAATGAACACTTTAATGCTTCAGACAATAACAAATCATATGAAGAAACAGGATAAGATGGCTCAAACATGTGAGCAAAGTAAAGGCACAGAAAACCATCCTGAGGAAGAAATGATAATAGAACTACCAGATAATTAATTCAAAAGATTTATGTATAGGATCCTCAAAGAGATCAAAGAAAACACAGATAAAACCTTAGAAGAATTTAGGAAGACCATACAAGAACAAAATGACAAAATAAATAGACAATTAGAAACCATACAGAAACAACAACTAGAAATCCAGAAGATTAACAATAAAGTATCAGAAATAGGTAACTCAGTGGAAGGACATAGAAGTAGAATTGAATCAATAGAAGAAAGAATCAGCAAAATAGAGGAGAAATCCCTTGTTGGGTTTGAACTGCTGACCTTTCAATTAGCAGCCAAGTGCTTAACCACTGTGCCATCAGGGCAGCCAAAGCTAGGCAAAGACACCACTAAAAAAGAAAATTACAGACCAGTATCTCTCATGAATGTAGACAGAAAAATTCTCAACAAAATTCTAGCCAACAGAATTCAACAACATGTCAAAAAAAAAAAAAAACCCATCATAATCAAGTGAGAGTCATGCCAGGGATGCAAGGATGGTTCAACATTAGAAAATCAATGCAATTCACCACATAAATAAAGGAAAAGGATCACGTGATCATGTCAATCGACACAGAAAAGGTATCTGATAAAATCCAACAGCCTTTCCTGATTAAAAAACTCACAGCAAGATAGGAATGGAAGAGAAACTCCTAAAAAGAATTAAGGGCATATATGCAAAACCAACAGCCAACGTTATTCTCAATGGAGAAAGATGAAGACGTTCTCTTTGACAACAGGAACAAGACAAAGATGCCCTTTATCACCACTTTTATTATACTGCAAGTCCTAGCTAGAGCTATAAGGCCAGAAAGAAATAAAAGGTATCCAAATTAGAAAGAAAGAAGTAAAACTATCCTTATTCACAGATGACATGATCCTACGCACATAGAAAATCTCAGAGACTCCACAAGAAAGTTACTGGAACTAATAGAAGGATTCAGAACTTACTGTACAGCCACGGTAAGCAGAACAGCCTGGTAGTGGTTCAGTGACAGACACATAGACCAATTGAATAGCGTTGAGAACCCACAAGTAAATCCATCTATCTATGGGCAGCTGATCTTCAACAAAGGATCAAAGTCCATTCAGTGGGGAAACAATCTCTTTAACAAATGCTGCTAGCAAAACTGGACATGCATATGCAGCAAAATGAATCGGTATCTATACCTCATACCATGCACTAAAACTAACTTAAGATAGATAAAAGACTTAAATGTTAAAGCTAAAGCTATAAAGTTCCTGGAAGATAACGTAGAACCAAAACTAGGGGACCTAATTTTCGGCCTAAATAGCCTATCAAGCAAAACTAAGAATGCACAAATGACAGAAGATAAATTAGATAACTGGGACCTCCTAAAAATTAAATACGCATATCAAAAGACTTTACCAAGAGAGTAAAAAGAGAACTTACAGACTGGGAAAAAAATTTTCAGCAGCGACATATCTGATAAGAGTCTAATCTCTGAAATATATAGAAAACTTCAACAACTCAAAAACAAAAAGACAAAAATAATATGTTCAAAAAATGGGCAAAGGACTTGAACAGACACGTCACTAAAGAGGATGTTCAGGAGGCCAACAAATACATGAAGAGATGCTCACAGTCATTAGCCGTTAAAAAACCAAAACCAAACCCATTGCCATCGAGTCAATTCTGACTCATAGTGACCCTGTAGGTCAGAGCAGAACTACCCCCTAGGGTTTCCAAGGAGTAGCTGGTGGATTCACACTTGCTGACCTTTTGGTTAGCAGCTGTAGCTCTTAACCACTCCACCACCAGAGCTCCCATTAGCCATTCCAAAACAGAATCTAAACCCATTGCCAACAAGTCGCTTCCAAGGTATAGCAACCCTATAGGACAGAGTAGAGCTGCCCCACAGGGTTTCCAAGGAGCATCTGGTGGATTTGAACTGCTGACCTTTTGGTTAACAGCCAAGCTTTTAAACACTGCACCTATATGAGAGAGATGCAGATCAAAACTGCAATGAGATACCATTTCACCCCTGTACAAATGGTAATGATTAAAATCAGAAAACATCAAACACTGTCAAGGCTGTGGGGGGATTGAAACTTGTATACATGGCTGGTGGGATTGTAAAATGGTACAGCCACTATGGAAAACAGTATGGTACTTCCTCAAAAAGTTAGGAATGGAAATACCTTAGATCCAGCAATCCCACTTCTAGGTATGTATCGTAGAGATATGAGACCAGTGATACAAATAGACATATGCACGCTTCTATTCATTGCTGCATTATTCACAATAGCAAAAAGAGGGAAACAACCTAAGTGCCCATCGGTGGATGAACAGATAAACAACTTGTGGTACGTACATACAGTGGAATACTACGTAACTATAAAGAATAATGAGGAGTCCATGAAACATCACATGGATGAATCTGGAGGACATTGTGTTGAGTAAAGTAAGTCAATCACAAAAAGACAAATATTGTATGGTCCCACTGTTGTAAAAGTCAAGAATAGATATGTACACAGAAAGCAGAGTTCTTTGATGGTTACCAGTGTTGGGAGGGGAAATCACTTTCTAGGTAGTAGACACTACTTTTGGTGATGGGAAAGGCAATCTCAAATATGGGTGAAGTCAGTAGAACTTGACCAAGGTAAATAAAGACACGAAGAAGTACATGAGAAAAAGGGATAATTTTGATAAATGCCGTATAATATATGCAATTTTGCAACAACAATAAAAACAACCAAAAATATATATATGTGGGTATATAGGCAAATATAGATGCATATATGTGTATAGGAAGCCATATGCAAGTAAATACACCTGCATGTATAGGTGTATCTATAGGCATATGTATATACATATTTGTACATGCTGTGTATGTATTCACATATATAACAGATCATTTGGGGGCACAGTTATGGAGTCTTCCTAGACATACCCAAACAACTTGGGGATCAGTTTACGGGGTCAAGGGGCTTGGGACCATAGTCTCAGGGGACAACCTTGTTAATTGGCATAACATAGTTCACAATGATAATGTTCTGCATCCTAATTTGGTGAGTAGCGCCTGAGGTCTTAAAAGCTTGTGAGCAGCCATCTAAGATACAACTGTTGGTCTCTACTCATATGGAGCAAAAGAGAATAAAGGAAATCAAAGGCTCAAAAAAGAAACTAGTCCACAGGTTTAGTAGCCCACACAAACCACAGCTGCTTCTAACCTGAGACCAGAAGAACTAGGTGGTGTCTGGCCACCATTACCGACCATTCTGAGCAGGGACACAATAGAAGGTCCTGGATAGAATGGAAGAAAATGTAGAACAAAACTCATGCCTAAAAAAGGCTAGACTGACTGGACCAATAGATACTAGAGGAACCCCCAAGACTGTCACGCTAAGATACCCTTTGAACTTGGAATTGAAGCTATTTCTGTAGATCACCTTTCAGTCAAATAACAGATTGGTTTATAAAATAAACAGTATCACCCATGATTAATGTGCTCCCTTAAACAATTAACTATATGAGGCCAATGGTCAACATTTACACAAAAGCAAAGATGAGAAGGCAAGGAGAGGAAGGGAAGCGAGATCAATGGATATGAACAAACAGAATGGAGATAATGAGATTGCTGACACATTGTAAAAATTATAACCAGTGGCATGGGACAACTTATATATAAATTGTTAAAGGGAAACCTAATTTGCTTTGTAAAGTTTCACCTAAAACACAATAAAATATTATTTTAAAAAATTACATGTGTGCTCAAGGGTCAAGATTTAATAAAATTAATATATTTGTATTGCTTCATTAAAGACCTTCTTAAGTGAAACTGGCTCTTTTATTTTTTTCTTGCCAGTGATGGTGGCAAAGACTATAATCACTGCTACTACAGATTGGTATCTCTGCCTTGATTCATACTAAAGGGTCAGAAGTTTTATCCACTGTTGCTTTTGCTTCCTTACGTAAATATCAACACATAAGAAGGGCATATAACATGTTAATATTATGATGGAAGTGCTTTTGACTTCATAGACTCTCTGAAAGGGTCCCAGGAACCTCCAGAGGTTGATGAGAACCACTTCTCTGATGTGAGCTGTAGCTATATTCTTTCCTCCTTTAAGTTCCGATTTTACTCCTGAATTGTTTAAAATTGTATGTAAGTCTTCTACTTACAGATTACCTTAAAGATAAAAAGTACTATGTGTGTAATCCTGTGTTTTAAAGGGTATTTGTAATGATTTTAAAATAGTTGTGAACTAACAAATCCTTTCTTGTCATACACCAAGAATTCCTTGACATTTTGCTCATTAAATTCTTATAATGTTATCTTTATTGAATAGATTAATTGAAACTAAGAGTAAATGACCTTCCCATGATTTGAGTCAAGATCAGAGTGCTCATTACATCTCGCGAACAGCCATTGAAATACGATATAACAAGAGCCTGGATTGGGTGGAATTAGTTTCAAAACCTTTATTCTTTGATTACTAACTTTGTGACTTTGGGCATGTTATGTAGCCCCTCTAATTCTTAATTCTTGGTGTCCTCATCAGTAATAACATCTACTTTATAGAATTGTCACTATTAAATGAAATAAAACGTGGAATAGGTTTCAGTGTGCCTGGCACATAGTAAGTATGCATGAAAAAAGTTTTTTCTGCTTGTTCAGTACCACTGTTTCTCTTTTCCAGATATTCATGCAAGTATTGTGTTTTTCTTTTTTCCTCTAATGGTCCCTTCCCTCTTCTCATTGTACCCTTTGTGAATATTTCATTAGATAAGTAGATAGTACAAATAGGGTAAGTTTTTATGCATTTATTAGCCCATTCATTGGTTTCAGAAAGACTGGAAGATAGAGAAAGTTCAGAAAGACTGGAAGTTAGAGTAGGATTAAAACACCATATTATACCTAAGCCATATGCTGTTCATAATGTCCATTATTCATTCCAATATGTTGATGCTTTCTTGTTAGATTCAGAAAATGCCCTGTTAGAATGCAGAACAATTGATCTCTCAACCGATGAAGAGGATGGGACACATCATTCCTCAGAAAGTAAAGATGATCAGAGTTCATCTTCCAACAACTCTAGCTCTCCAGAAGAAAAAACATTTTCATCAATAGGTTGGTAATATTTGTAATTTTGGTTAATAATTTTTTTCTAGTGTCAGTATTTTCTCTACCAGTGGTTCTCATTATTGATGATGTAACAAACTCCAGGGAAGTATGGGGCAAGTAATTTGTTAATATTGATTGTCCAAGTGTCAAAATTGACTGTTCACATCAACTGCAAAGTAACTACAAATGAAATAACAAGGTGGGCTGGTAGTTTGTCATCCCTGTAGAATATAGAGAGCGATAACCTAGTATCTAAAAACTGGTACATCTAAACCTCTCACATTTATTCATGTGGGACTCACCATAGGACCTTGGAGGTTTACTTGGTTGTACTCTGGTTAGAGACTGTTTCTGACTCCCTGCATTCCAAGATGGAGCCCTGGTGGTGCAGTGGTTAAGAGCTTGGCTCTAACCAAAAGGTCAGCAGTTCGAATCCACCAACCACCCCTTTGAAACCTTATGAGGCAGTTCTACTCTGTCCTATAAGGTGGCTGTGAGTTGGAATCAACTCGATGGCAATGGGTTATATTCCTGGATGCCCACAGGGGAGGTGCTGGCCTTAGTAGAGGAAGTCCCAGATTTACACTGGGGCTTCGTTCTGATGGCTCCGTCGTAAGTCGGTTCTGTCATAAGTCGAATACCTTAATTTCTTTTTAATTTTCATTATTATTGCCTTTTATTATCAGTATCTTTATAAATCTGATCTTTATTTGACTTTGGGGGTTAGAAACATTACATGTTAACTTAGATATATTTTAATACATACATACGTGAGAAAGTTCATAAATAATAAAAATTTATTCTGATGATGAATTCTGATGACATTGGCATTTTGTCCATTGCAGTAATAACTCCACTTATGGAATGTTCTGGATCATCTGGATTATTCCTGGGAATGGGGATGGCATTTCTAGTCAAAAAATTAGTGAGAATTGTCTGTGTGGTCCTTTTCTTTTTTCATATATTTCAAGGTAACATCTCATTGATTGCTGCATCCGTGTATCGACTTTAGCAAAGCGATCAGTGTTTGAGTCCGTGTTTTCAAGCAGCTGAAGCCCCTAATTTAACTTAGAAAAACTCCAGCTAATTCTTTCACTGTAAAATTTTTTGACAACTTCTGTCATCTCTCTTACTGTTTCTTACTTCTTCAGAGTGTCTTTCCTCTTCAAAATCTGTTAAGACCTGTTCTGTCAGTTCCTCTTCCTCATGATCTCTGAGATGTTCCACATTGGCAATATCAACTAAATTCAGCGTTCTTGCCATATGGACGATTTTTCCACTAATCTCTTCCATCATATTATCCTGATCAAATGCCTGCAGCATGTTCACATAACTTAGCAGTTTTTTCCATATCCAGCGCGTGCATCTTCCCATAACTTCCTCCCAGGAAGATGTAATATTCCAGATACACTGACAGTTGTAAGTGCAGTTCATAATAATTGGAATATGTTGTAAATTGGGGACTACTGGTATAGTGTTCCTCTTACTTCGTAAGTTAGACTGGTCTGTCACGAGATCCTTCTAACCTGTGCAGTTCTCTTACTGAGGAACTCCATACTCAGCCCTCTGTACATCCTTACCCTGACAATCTCAGAGCTTCTGGAATGAGAAATTGCTAGCCCTCAACAAAAAGTCAGCAACAAGCCCTAATGAATATGAGAGATAAAAGATAAACTGGAATGTTTTTAGTATATTTTCTGATACTTCTTGCTTTGATTCATTTCTCTATATTATATTTAATCTCTATCAAATTAATTTAATTTCTTACTTCACTAATACAGATTTTGCGCCATTTATTAAGTTATATGCATGTATCAAAATAGTGAAAAAAATTGGGAAAGTGGTGCTTTGTTTTTATTTAAGTGTGAGGAATATTTATTTTTGTTGGAATTGGTTTTCAATGTCCTCTTTTGTTTCAATCAGCTAGGATCCCTGATGCAACTTTCATTCAGGCAGCCCGCAGAAAACGTGAACTGGCCAGGACCCAGGAAGACTATATTTCTTTGGATGTAAAACAGACCTCCACCATCTGTGGTGTAAAGAAAAACAGTGATGAAGATCCTGAGAGTGAACCTGATGACCATGAGGAAAGAATACCGTTTACCCTAAAGCTTCAAACACTTAGACAGAGAATGGCTGAAGAAACAAGTACGTATTTATTTATCAGTACATAAAGATTAAGTCATTTTTATTAGAATATCATATTGTGATACAATCCCCATAGAAGCATAGATTAGTGTCATATTGCGAAGGTGTGTTGATGTGATTTTTATTTAATATCAATTTGACATTATGACCTCTACAAGTCATGTCTGTGGGTATGTGTAATATTGTTTACTGTTGCCTGACTATTTGACAAGTTAAAGAAATACATTGTGTAAGTTGTGGCTTCTTTTTGAAACTTTGAAAACCATCATTGTTACCTTATAAAGATTTTTTTTTAAAAAACATAGAAACATCTACAGAGAATTTAGGTGTTATGTGTTAAAATCTTTCCTACTCCACTAAAAAAATTTCCTCCGTCAATAATCCTTAAGTCTCAAGGAACTATTTCCACATTTCTCATTTATAAACAATAATACGCTTTTTACCAGGGTTTTTATAACTTTAAATAGTACTGTTTCAGAATGAGAATTTTCTTTCCTTATAACCCAGAAGTTGTTTATAAATGTTTGGATTCTTGGGTAGGGATTGAGCATTCTCTGATAGGTGAAACCAAGCATTTAATTCTTTCTAAGTGTTTTCCATATATAGGTCTGTAGTGTGTTGAATGGGACAATTTGGTGAGAAGAGTACAGGGGCTGGAATCAGATCACTGAATTCAGTTCCCAGCTTCAGCATGGTCCTCAGACAAGTTATTCAACCTCCCAGTTTCTGAATTTTCTCATTTCATAAGTGAGGGTAATAATAGCACCTTTTCCCCAGGATTATTCTGAAGGATAGATAAGTTACCGTATTTTACACAGATAACACACGCCTTCTACATTTGTTTGTCAACTGCACCCTCCTCTTGCGAGATGATTTTGTAAGTGCACTGTGCTAGTTTTTTTTACAGCAGCATGTAAGTGTGCTATGCTAATTTTTTTTTTTAACAGCAGCATGTAAAAAAAAAAAAAATTGGCATAGCAGCGCCTATGAAAATACCTCATGGGGAGGACACGGTTGGCAAACAGACGTAGAAGGCGTGTTATTTGTGTAAAAATATGGCAATACATGTAAAGTGCTACTAATGCTGCATATTATAAGCCCCAAAAATATTAGCTGCTGGTAATGAAATGGAGAACTATTGATTGTTTATACGTGAACTTTTTTTTTTTTTTGATAGCAACCAGAAATGAAGAAACAAGTGAAGAAAGTCAGGAAGATGAAAATCAAGATATTTGGGAACAGCAGCAAATGAGGAAAGCAGTTAAAATGATGGAGGTAATAGTTTTTTTTAATGCCATCTGTATTAGTTTCCTGTGACTGCCATAACAAATAAGTTGAAGGTTCCCAAACTTTCTCGTTCTTGGAGCCTTAGTAGCTTGCTAATTTTATCATCGTGCCCCTAGGCCAAAAAAAATACAAACAATTCCATTTAGTAAATAGTTAACGGAAAATCCACTGCCATCAAGTTGATTCTGACTCATAGCGACACTATTGAATAGTTAGGTCCAAGTAATTTAATAAGATTTATGTCATAATAACTTAGTAGCCATTTAGGTAAAATAATACAGATGTGAGTCGGAACCAACTTGAGAGCACCTAGCAACAACAACAATAAAGTTAAAGAAAATTTTTTTTAATTTTTGTTTTAAATAACCACAATTACTTCAAATGGAATAAGTGCTCTTATTGGACACTGCGTGACTTCTCAAACCTTGGAATCAGATTGGACACTGCCCGCCTCATTTCCTGTTATGCATTGATTTTCATACTGTACTTGGCTTTTTATCATGTTGTTTTTGTTAGGTGTCATCAAATTGGTTCCAGCTCACAGCAACCCTGTGTACAACAGAACGAAACAGAACGAAACACTGCCTGGTCCTGCACCGTCCTCACAATTGTTGTTATGCTTGAGTCCATTGTTGGAGCCACTGTGTCCATCTCATTGAGGGTCTTCCTCTTTTTTGCTGACCCTCTACTTTAGCATCTGCCAAAATCCTAGCTTCACAAATATGACTTTATCAAAAGAAAGGTAGTACAATCTAATGTTGTAACTTTGAACTAATTAGAACTAGTAGTCCAACAAATGTTGAGTATTGTTGTTTCCCTAAAAAATTTAAAATATCCCACAGCACACTTTGAGTTCACGGGGATGCCTTGGTAGACAGTTTAGAAACCATAGTGTGTGTTCATTTTAATTCAGATTTCTTTACTTGACATATTCCTGGTTTTACATAGTTATAGTAACAACTAATTTCTAATACTTCATAATATTCATTGGAATCAGTGAATCATCATTTTCTTAACCATCCGTCCTCTTAGTGACCATTTTGGATTATTTCTAATCTGATTTTTCTTCCTTGTTAATAAAATCATTTAACATTTTATTATCTTTTCTCCCTCCTTGCCTCCTTTTCTTTCTTTTGTTCAGATGTGTTTTTGAGCTATTACTTTAGGATAACTGCCAAGCATGGTACTACTAATTAAAGACAATGAACATATTTTACAACAGTTAATACATGTTTCTCTAATGCTTCCTAAAGAAACTTAGATCAGTCTATAATGCCATTGATATTATTGGAATGTTTCACCACAATCTTGCCTTTAGGTGCAAGTTTAATTGGTGAAACTGTAATCGCAAGCTTATTTGATATGAATTTTTCATTACTAGTATGAGTGCATTCATGGATTCATTTATTGAAGATCCTGGTATATGCTACCGTATTAGTTTCCTGTGGCTACTGTAACAAACTTGGTGACTTAAAACAACAGAAATTTATTCTCTCGTAGTTCTGGAAGCCAGAAGTCCAAAACGAAGGTCTCAACAGGATCATAGTCCTTTTGAAGGCTCTTAAGGAGAATCTGTTCCTTGCCTCTTTTAGTGCTGGTGGCTATTGGCATTCCTTGGCTTGTGGCCACATCTGTCTCTCCTCTGTCTTCTCATTGTCTCCTCCTCTTCTGTCCCAAAGCTCTCTCTACCTCCCTCTTTTAAGAATACATATAATTGCATTTAGTACAACCTGGATGATCCAGGATAAGCTTCTCCTCCCAAGATTCTTAACTTAATCGCATCTTTTGCCATATAAGGTAATATTCACAGGTTCTGGGGATTAGGATGTAGACATATCTTTATGAAGGCCACCATTCGGCCCACTACAGCCACTTATGGTGATAGGCATTGAAATATACAGTCTTTGCCGGGGGAGAGGCAGCTAAACAAAATAAGTATAGCGTAATGTTAACAGGTTCTCTGACAGTTCCTGAGATGGCATAAAGGAGCAAATGAGTGGTCTGTTTTATAGGAGAGGGTGCGTGGAGAGACTTGGAAAATCTTCTGCCAAAGTGGTGATATTTGAATGGGTCTTTGAAAAATGTTTATGATGTGAGGAGTTTGAGATGAAAGTATCAGGACTAAAAGCATAAAGGTTTGAAATAGTCTGATTAGTTTGGGGATTTTCAGATACGATTGGAGCTGGATGGGAGACTTAGCAAGTTGAGGTGAGAAATGATGATACTTTATATATTTAAAAATATAAAAAGAATAGTTAAACCAATGAGTTGGCTGAATATCTGATGCACTTCTTTACATGTCTTTGTCTAAACAGAGGTTCTCCAGGACCTTTTGAACATTCTAAACATGATGGTGGTGGGCTGTCATTAGGGAGAGAACAGTAATGTGAAATATACCATGTTACAAGAAGTGTTAGTTAGGAATGTGTTCCTCTGCAAGTAACAGAAAACTCAAATAACAGTGGCTTAAACGAAAGTAAAAGCTTTATCTAGAAACCCTCCAGTAGACTTCCATTTACTTTTCATTGACCAGAATGAATTTATGACTACATGTATCATGGAAAACTAGTATTTAGCTTTTGGAAAATAGGTGTTTGTTTAGCCAGACAGCTGTGTCTACCACCCAAGGTAATATTCGCCAAGGACTGTTGATTCTTCAAAAACTACATGACTTTTTAAGATTACATTACACTGTAAACCAAACTAGGTTTAAAAACTTTGAGAACCAAGCATTTGTGAAAATATAAGATTTTGTAATTTGCCTCTTATATGTGTATTATGGTAGAATTTTGCAAGACCAGCGACTTATTCATTGAAATACCTTTTTTTAACAACATAAACAGCGACTGTACACGTGGACCTCACCAGATTGAAAACACAGAAATCAAATCGACTACATCTGTGGAAAGAAATGATGGAAGAGCTCAATATTATCAGAACAAGGCCAGGGGCCAACTGCGGAATAAACTATCAATTGATTATATGCAAGTTCAAGTTGAAGCTGAAGAAGATTAGAGCAAGTCCAGGAGAACCAAAATACAAACTTGAGTATATCCCACCTGAATTTAGAGACCATCTCAAGAATAGATTTGATGCATTGAACACTAATGACAAAAGACCAAATCAGTTATGGGATGACATCTAGCATAGCTAGAGTGAATGGAAGAAATGATAAAGTAAAAGAGCTGAACAGAAGATTTCAAAGGGCGTCTCGAGAAGACAAAGTAAAGTATTATAATGTGCAGAGAGCTGGAGTTACAAAACCAAAAGAGATGAACACGCTCGTCATTTCTCAAGCTGAAAGAATTGAATAAAAATTTAAGCCTCAAGTTGCAATTTTGAAGGGTTCTATGGGCAAAATATTGAACAATGCAGGAAGCATCAAAAGAAGATGGAAGAAATACACAGAGTCACTGCAACAAAAAGAATTGGTTGACGTTCACCCATTTCAGGAGGTGATCAAGAACTGATGGTATTGAGAGAAGAAGTCCAAGCTGCACTGAAGGCGTTGGTGAAAAACAAGGCTTCAGGAATTGAAGGAAAACCAACTGAGATGTTTCAACAAATGGATGCAGAGCTGGAGGTGCTCACTTGTCTATGCCAAGAAATTTGCAAGTCAGTTACCTGGACAACTGACTGGAAGAGATCCATATTTGCCCACTCCAAAGAAAAGTTATCCAACAAAATGCAGAAATTATCAAAACAGTTGTAGCAGTACATCGACAGGGAACTTCCAGAAATTCAAGCCTGATTCAGAAGAGGACCTGGAATGAGGGATGTCATTGCTGATGTGAGAATACCAGAAAGATGTTTACATGTGTTTTATTGACCATGCAAAGGCATTTGACTGTGTAGATTATAACAAATTATGGATAACATCGTGAAAAATGGGAGTTCCAGAACACTTCATTGTGCTCGCGTGGTATCTGTACATAGACCAAGAGGCAGTCGTTCGAACAGAACAAGGGCATACTGTGTGGTTTAAAATCAGGAAAGGCATGCATCAGTGTTGTATCCTTTCACCATACTTATTCATCCTGTATGCTGAGCAAATAATCCAAGAAGCCGAACTATATGAAGAGGAACACGGCATCAGTGTTGGTGGAAGTCTTGTTAACAACCTGTGATATGCAGATGACACAACCTTGCTTGCTGAAGGCGAGGAGGACTTGAAGCACTTACTGATGAAGATCAAAGACCACAGCCTTCAACATAAAGAAAACAAAAATCCCCACAACTGGACAAATAAGCAACATCGTGATAAACAGAGACAGTATTGAAGTTGTCAAGGATTTCATTTTACGTGGATCCATAATCAGTGCCCATGAAGCAGCAGTCAAGAAATCAAACGATACATTGCACTGGGCAAATCTGCTGCAAAAGCCCTTTCTATAAGGTGTTGAAAGGTAAAGATGTCACTTTGAGGACCAAGGTGCGCCTGACCCAAGCCGTGATGTTTTCAGTCACCTCATATGCATGCGAAAGCTGGACATGAGTAAGGAAGGCCAAAGAAGAATTGAAGCCTTTGAGTTATGGTGTTGATGAAGAATATTGAATATACAATGGACCACCAGAAGAATGAAGAAGTCTGTCTTGGAAGAAGTACAGCCAGAATGCTCCTTAGAAGCCAGGATGGTGAGACTTTGCCTCACATCCTTGGGACATGTTATCAGGAGTGACTGCAGCCATAGGCTCAAACATAGCAACAACTGTGAGGATGGTGCAGGATTGCAGTGTTTCGTTCTTTTGTATAGGGTTGCTATGAGTCAGAACTGACTCGACAGCACCTAACAACAACAGTGAATTTAAAGTTCTAAATTTTAAAACGGTGAAGTTTTTAAAAAACATTTTTTAAAACATTTTGTTTTTATGAAGAGTTGCATAAGCCCCCCTCAAAAATACCCATTGCTGTCAAGTTGATTCCGATTCATAGCGACCCTATAGGACAGAGTAGAACTGCCTCATGGGGTTTCCAAGGAGCACCTGGTAGATTCAAACTGCTCAGCTTTTGGTTAGCAGCCGAACTCATAACCACTATGCCAGGAGGGTTTCCGAAGAGTTGCATTGGCGTGAAATTTTCAAGCTGGCAGGGACCTTGGAGTACGTAGTCAGTTTCATGCTATTAACATTTGTAAGGTAAATTAAATGTTTTAAAAATACATAAATTTTCGTATTATTTCTAGGGAAGAGACATCGACCTTTCTCACAGCAGTGAATCTCAAAAAGTGAAGAAGTTTGATACTTCCATTTCATTTCAACCAGTAAATTTAGAAGTTATAAAGAGGCAATTAAATACTAGGTAAGTAACATTCATTTTGAAATTAAATTTGTCCTAGACATTTAATAGTAAAACAAATTAGCAATGTATTCTTTTTTAATTCTTAAATATAAATAATAAATGGGTTCATAGGAAAAAAATAGCTTCTCCTGTGTTAGCACACTAATATTAATTTCATTTTGTATATGTATTTTTAGTCTTTATAATAGATACGTATTACCTAGTTAAAATCAGTAATCATAACATTCTGCTTCTTTTAACATGGTCATAGTCCTTTTTATGCATTGTTAAATACCCTTTAATTTTTTAAAAATACCATGTTTGTCCATATAGTTGATATATCATAATTTACTTGAGTACTTATCTGTTAGATATTTTGATTTTGAAGTTTTCTCAATTATACATAATGCTACAGATAGTGAACATTTTGTTCCTGTAGGTGTTTTAGTCTCTTAAATAATTTCTTAAATCCCCCCAGGAGGTTGACCTTGGCAGTGGTTATGCATATTTTTATGACTCTTGATACAGATTGCCTTTCTGAAACACAGCTGTCTTTTCTTACTTTGTTATTGTTGAGTGCCGTCGAGCCTATTTGGACTCATAGTGACCCCATGTGATGGAGTAGTACTGCCCCATATGGTTTCCTAGGCTGTAATCTTTACGGAAGCAGATTACCAGTTCTTTTTCCTGCTGAGCCTCAGGGTTAGTTTGAACCGCCAACCTTTTGGTTAGCAGCAGCCAAGTGCTTAACCAGGGCTCCTTTGGCATTGTTGTCTTTTATTCTACTATTATTAATACTTATCTCTTAAATAGATAGTATTAAACTTAGTATAAATGGCATTTTTGCTAAAAACAAAGCAAGCCTATCATAGATTATTTTAAATATTTACATTTTCTATTGTACTGCTCAGGATCTAGCGTGTATCTTTAGGTATATGAAAGAACATGTATAATGGTAGAAGTCTAATTAGTCCTATAACAGTTTGATACAGGGAGAGAGTTTGAGTCTCCTGCCAAAGCAAGTATTCATAAAGAACATTTCATTGCATGTCAATATATATTTTTTCTAATACCTGAAAATAAGTTCAAAATTCTTTTCCACAGTATCTTTTCTATAAATCAGCTTTAAAGTAGCTTCATTCCTTAATTATTTTGCAACTAAAATATATTTGCTGTTGTTCATTTAAATAAGATTTGATGCTGAAAGGGATGTTTTCTAACATTTTGTAGTGACATAAATATTTGAAAATCTTTAGGTGTACCAAACTATAAGATATTGTTATCTCTGTATTCTAGGGTGTTGGCAAACTACCAGCCCACCTTGTTTTATCTTAACAGATTCATATAGTCAAATATTAGTGGAAAATGCATTTCAGATGTTTTCAAAGAAACTGTTTCTTATTCCTCCATTGCCACATATACGTAAGGGGTAACTGAATTTTAAAAAGATAAATTGTAGTTGACTGTTTTTCATGTAATAACAGTTGGTACATGTAATACTCACAAGAGCTGGAAAAAAAGAGAGCTGTCTTAACATCAGTAGAGGGACATATAGGGCCTATAGTAGCAACAGAAGAAATAGAATGCTCCTTAAGGAGTATTAGATTTAACAACAAATAAAACAAAAACCATAAATTGTGAAACAGATACATTGTACTAAACCATAACATACTCATGGTTCTAATACCAGCTCATTCAGATCCCGTTATTCCAAAACAGACCACAGACCAAGTCTTGTTTCAGATACAAGGACATTGATTGTTCTAGCAACTCACGTAGTTTACAAATTGTGATCAGTCCCAGCCTACACAACAGTTAGTAGCTTCTACTCTAAAACTACCCTGACTAACTCCAGCCCCTAAATACTTACAAGTGCCCTTTACTACCTTTCTCCTTTTGAGACCCCTTTCCGTGTGATGCTCTCCTTTGCTCAGCAAGTCTCATAAACCCACGTTTATATAATCAGCAGTTTTCTTGGTGGTCTTCTTACAGGAGCTTTGAAAAAAATTCCATTAGATTGCTGCTTATTATAGTAGCAATTAAAATTAGAAGAATAAAGCAGAGTTTATTTTTATTTTGTTTGTTTAGATTAACGTTGTTACAAGATACTCACCGTTCACACCTGAGGGAATATGAAAAATACATACAAGATGTCAAGAGCTCAAAGAGTACGATCCAGAACCTAGAGAATTCATCAAATCAAGCTCTAAATTATAGATTCTATAAAAGCATGAAAATTTATGTGGAAAATTTAATTGACTGTCTTAATGAAAAGGTACATGACTATAAATATTTATATTATTTTCTATTTCTAGACAATCCCCTTTACCATGTGGTTTAAAAAATGTCTAAACTGCAAAACTAAATACTTTCTTCTATTTTTTCCCCCTACACATTTTTGACATATTATGATATTAAGTATTCCCCTAATGATGGACATTTGGGTTTTTTGCAGTTATGTTGCTATTATAAGTAACACTGTATACAATTTTGTATGTAATTTTTGTATATAAAATTTCACGTTTATAAGAAAAATCCCTAGAAAGTGAATTATTAAGTACTGTTGGAATATTTTTAAGGCTTATAAAACATATTGGCAAATTGTCCTCCAGAAAGATTGTGTCAGTTTTATTTTATTAATTTACTAAATTTTTTAAAAAGAGGTTTTGTTTGTATAGATTGTTTTGATGTCAGACAAACCCTTTGTTTTATTAGCTGTCTGCAGTTTCTCTTGTGACTTATTTGTTCATCACTTTTGCATTGTTATCTTTTTGATTCTTGTTAAGGATTTTTTCTTTTTTTTTTTTTTTTTAACTTATTCGATGAACCTTTTTTTATAGCTTAAAGATTTTTAATACTTTATCTAATTTGATATAGGTAAACTTTCAGTTTGTTTGGTCTTTTGATTTTGTTCGTGATGGTTTTTTGACATTAGACATTTTGAAATTTTTATGTTACCAGATTTATCCATCTTTCCCTTTATAGTTTCTGTTTTTGTTTTACACAAAACAAAAATGAAGTCCTTCCATTGGGGTCTTCATTTGTCTTTTTTTCCTTTTTTTATAAGTAGACTAACCATTTTTAAAGTGTTATACTCTCCATATTTTTATTCAGATTTAAATGTTGCCAAACAATCGGATGCTTTCTCCTCTATTGTTGGTTTAAATTGGCTACCTTCTAATATCACTTGGTAGGTAGTTCTGAAGTATTTATTACAATGTAATTTCCTTTTTTAATTCATCCTTGAGGTGAATTACACTGTTAAAATCTTGTCAGCCTGCACATTAATGTAATCCTTAGCCTCAGCTGTAGAACATCATGGGCGTGGGAGGAATTGTTACCCAAAAAGTGTAGAAATACCAGGTCCCTCTTTCTGCCCCCACCACGTGCTTACCTGTCTCTGATTAGATCTCTCTATTCTCTAATGGTTCTAACTTCCCCAGTTTCCTCAAGTGCCCCCTCCAGTCAGTCCTCTCAGCTTATGAGTGATAGCTGCACCCATCGTTTCCTCCTACAGTCCTATCTCAGAGGAAGATGAATCATTCCTCTTATGTAAGGCTACTCCCTCCCTGACCCTGGCTCTGTCTCATCGGGTTTCAGTATTTATGACATGTATAGCTGTTCCAGTACTGTAAGTTGATTTCCTGTTTCTTAATATTGAAAGTATTGGCAGCTAGGTTTGTTGCTCACTATGTTTTATAATTGAGATGTGATAGTATTGAAGATGTTTCTTTATATGAGAGTTAAACACACACATACACACATATATATAAAAATCAAACCCATTGCCATCAAGTCAATTCCAACTCATAGCGACCCTATAGGACAGAGTAGAACTGCCCCATAGAGGTTCCAGGGAGCTGCTGGTGGATTTGAACTGCGAACCTTTTGGTTTGTAGCCATAGCTGTTAACCACTGCACCACCAGGGCCCCATGTATATATACGTGTGTGTGTATATATGTGTGTGTGTGTACACACACACACACATATATACGTGTGTGTGTATATATGTGTGTGTGTACACACACACACACACACACACACACATATATAAAACCAAAAAACGAAACCCACTGCTGTTGAGTCAATTCCAACTCATACTGACCCTACAGGACATAGTAGAACTGCCCCATAGGGTTTCCAAGGCCCTAAATCTTTACGAAGCAGACTGCCACATCTTTCTCCTGCAGAGCATCTGGTGGGTTCAAACTACCAAACTTCTGGTTAGCAGCCTAGGACTTTAACCACTGTGCCACCAGAGCTCCCCGTATATATAAAACCAAAAAAAAAAACCCGTTGCCGTCAAGTCAGTTCTAACTCATACTGACCCTACAGGACAGAGTAGAACTGCCCCATAGGGTTTCCAGGGAGTGGCTGGTAGATTTGAACTGCTGACCTCTCGGTTTGCAGCCCAGCTCTTAACCACTGCGCCACCAAGGCTGCCCCTATACATATATATTTTTTTTTCCTGAATATTACTTTTTTTATGTTGTTGTTAGGTACCGTCGAGTCGGTTACGACTCATAGCAACCCTGTGTACAACAGAAACACTACCCAGTTCTGCGCCATCCTTTTTCATGCTCGTATGTAATTCATTTTTCATGACCTGAAAAATATTACTTATGTATGTATTTCAGATTATCAGCATTCAAGAAATAGAATCATCCATGCATGCACTCCGTTTAAAACGAGCCATGACCTTTATGAAACGCAGGCAAGATGAATTAAAACATGAATCAACGTATTTACAGCAGTTATCACGTTAGTATTTTTCATGTTCAATATGATTTAGTATTCTTTAAGTTAAATTATCATCTGGAGATTAAAAAATTTTTACTCCTGCTATAAAAAATGCTTTTTGCATATTTTTCCCCTAACCTTTCACCCACCCCCTTCCAAAAACCCAAAACATTTAGAGCTGAGGGTTCGAAGTATCCTAAATTAATTCTAAGACTGAAAATGAAAAATTGTAACTTCTAATTATTTAGTATTTGAGACAAAATATTTGTATGGTTAATGATTATTTTGAGATAGTTCACATAAATCTATAGACTGCTGTGTCAGAGACCTAACTTTATAAAGTTTCCAGACACTTCCACAGAGCGGATAGGTTTCAGTATAGATACATCTGTAAGGTCTCGTGTAAGACTTGGATGCTTCCTTGTGGTTCTCACACTGGTTTTGTGTTTTTCAGAGATGTCTTCTTTTGGGTAAAGTATTGCCAAGGGATAGTGAAAGAGATGAGACCATAACCAAATAACCAATACAGGCAGAGTGACTTTCAACCATTCGGCATTTTGTTGGTCATAAATTATGTGTATATGTTAAAATAGGAAGGAGCCCTGGTGGCACAGTGATTAAGCTCTCAGCTGTTAACCAAAATGTCAGTGGTTCAAACCCACCAGCCAGTCCATGTGAGAAAGATGTACCAGTCTGCTTCCATAAAGATTTCAGCCGAGGAAACCCTATGGGGCAGTTCTACTCTGCCCTATAGGGTTGCTATGAGTCAGACTCGAGTCGACAGCAGTGGGTTTGATTTTTGTTGTTGTTAAAATAGGAAGTAATATGAATAACATATTGGTCATACAAATTTTCAGCATCTGGCTACAGGGACAGAAAAAAATTGGTGAAAACTACTGAAAAAAATTTTGTAGGAAGGAAACTTCACGGTAGAGTTTTGTTATTTTCAGGTGCTGAACTATATTCAGCAGCCACAGTACATTTTCTTAGGCAAGCCGGACTTGAAACCTGTTAACGTTGTAACAGGGAGTTAACATTGCATAATGACATATGCAGTTTAACATATTATTTGTGAATATGTTTATATGTGCATATGAAAACCCTTGTGTTGTAGTGGTTAAGAGCTATGGTTGCTAACCGAAAGGTCGGCAGTTCGAATCCACCAAGGTGCTCCTTGGAAACAGTATGGGGCAGTTCTGCTCTGTCCTATAGGGTCACTATGAGTCAGAATCGACTCCACGGCAGCGGGTATATACATACATGATATTACTTTTGTTTTTATAGTATTTCACTTTACTTTTTTAGAGAACTTGGAGTATGAAATCAGTTTTATTCATTAACAGGCAAGGCTGAGACATCAACAAATGGAAGCTTGGCTATAGATGAAAAAACACAATGGATTTTAGAAGAGATGGAATCTCGAAGGTAGCTATATAAAGAGCTGTGACATCATTGAGCAAGTGTTCTTCACTACTGAAGTGTAACTAGCCATGTGGTATAATTAACCTGTCATATTAATTTATGAGAATAATATAAAACCAAAATGTAGTTAAATAGTCCTCAACCCTAGAAGCTTAAAGACGTACTCGTGTATTTGGATCATTTGAAAGGAATGGATAAAATGAGATGTATCAGGCTGAGAATTGCTCATAACTAGAAGCCAGTCCTAGGAAGCCATCTTTAAATTCTGATTAACCCATGGGAATATCCTAAATGGGAATGTCTTAGGAGAAGGGAAAAGAAGGAGAACTACCAATTCAGACTAATGCTGCTAAGATTTCAAAAATATTAATGTGAACCTCTGTGCTAATATGATGGTTGTACTTCTGGGCATTTTGACTTTAGTTTTACTTTTTGTTGTTTTTCAACAAGAGCTATTTGCTTTTAATTCATTTTTGGTTTATTGTAAATTGTAGGGCACGAAGAAGACAGGCAAGGGTGCTTTCTGCGAACTGTAGTCATGAGGAAGGAACATCTAGTGATGATGAACTGCCTTCAGCAGAAATGACTGACTTCCAAAAAAGCCAAGGTCAGTTACCAAGTTTCTAATGTGTCTTGATTCAAAGTATTTAAATCGTGGGAAATGCTTTGTTGTATTTCTGTTTTTATCCTCAAACACGTAAAGTATATAAAACAGTTCGGAAAATTCAGGAAAAAGGAAACATCTTTTCCTTTAAGACTCATTTGCTGCCTCTGGAAAAAATAGGATAAAACAGGGAAGGAGTGTTGTATTTCTGCATCTTTATGGGTTTTTCCTTCAGCCTTTCTGATTTTATTTAAGCACCACACACTCTCTATATAATTATTTTTAATTTAAAACAACTGAATTTACTGGAACCATTTTTATCATTATCTGACAGTAAGATGTGTATAAAGAGTGTGGGTTTCATAGTCAAATAGACTTAGATTTGAATAGCAGCTCTGTTCTGTGTGATCTCAGGCAAATTCCTTGATCTCTCTAAATCTGGCCTTCTTGTTATTTGCTGGGTTTTGTTTTGTTTTGTTTCTCTTTTTGCCTGTAAATAGGATAGCAACACCTATCTTATAGGGCAGATAGTTGTGATGATGAAATGAGATAATGTATTTGTAATGCTTTGACATATAGCAGGGGCTCAGTAAGTGGTATTTGTTATTAGTGTTGACATTACTATTACCAAAGTGGTTGTTTAATAAAAACAGATTTGTATGTTACTAGCAAAGGAAGTTTTCAGTTGAATTGATTGTGTAAAGTCATATGTGACTGTTCATAAGGAAGCAAACTGAAAATTCACACTTAAAATGTATAATGTAAAGAAACATTTTTTGTTTACAGATGACATTTTACAGGATTGTAAGAAGATTTTTGAAGACGTGCATGATGATTTTTGTAACATTCAGAATATTTTGTTGAAATTTCAGCAATGGCGAGAAAAGTTTCCTGATTCTTATTATGAAGCTTTCATTAGTTTATGCATACCGAAGCTTTTAAATCCCCTAATACGAATTCAGTTGATTGATTGGAATCCTCTTAAGGTAATTATGCTTAACATATGAAAAAATAATACTGATCACATTAGTCACTTCAATTCTCTTGCGATCAGTTAGCTATGAAATACCTACCCCACAGAATGGGAGCTGATGATTAGTGCTTTGGAGCAGTAGTCTGGAAATGTGTGCGTTAGGCTACATTCTTCTTTGCTTGGTCCTCAAGTGATTTTTAAGTCTTAGTGGCACTAAACATTAGTAAAGCAAATAACTTTTTTTTAAGCTTCTTCTGTGTTAAGTTTGGGATCCCCCAAGAAAACTATAAGATAGTATTGTACCTTAAAAATTTTACAGTCTCTGTGGGTAAATTAGACCTAGGAACCTTGTTCCGAAAGTTTTGAAGTTGGAAATGACATATTGGAAAGAGTTGACTAGGAAAGCTGTACTGAGGAGGAGGAATTTGAAGGAGGCTTTAAAGAGTGCGCAGGATTAAAAACAGGAAGAGAGAAAGGGAAGTCTTGTCGTGGTAAAGTAGTAGTGACGTGATAATAGCAATGTTTAGGAAGCCCTAGCAATAACCTAACTTCAAGGGAAGGGAAATCAGAGGTGGAGATAAACTCTGAAAGGCTGTTGCTGTAGTCCAAATTGAAGGTGATTAATTCCTCACATAGCTTGATAGTGACAAAGGTAAGAGAGAGAAGGGTTGATTATAGGAGATGTTAGGACATAAGAATCAGTAAAACGTGGACAATAACCCTAACCCTCCAAATCCAAAGATGACCCCAGGGTTTGGGTTCTGGTTTATTAGAAGAATGGTGATTAATAGAAATGAGGTCTTTCCAGAAAGAGAAAAGGTTTTAATGGAAGTTTCACTTCATAGATAATTAAATGACAGTGGGACATTTACATAGATATGCCTAGTAAGCAAACAGAAATGAGAAATTGAAGTTCTAGGAAGGGATGAGAGCTGAAGATAAAGATTTAGTGATGTGAAGGATGAAGCTAGGTCCTTTTATCTTTCTCTGCCTTAGTCATGCAGGCCTGTTGGCGCTTTGTTAGGCCGAGGGCCGTATGGTCCTCACAGTACAGGAGCAACGCGCATCCCTAAGACTGTGCTAGGTAGTTCATCAGGCTGCAGCCTAGGTGTTAATCATTCAAGCTGAATTGGGCACTCTGTTATGCCTAGCAGAGATCTTCATCCATTCAACAAATAATAATTGGGCAGCTGCTGTTTGCCTGGTAAGCTAAACCACATGCAAATTACATTTGTGCTTATGAAAAATTGAGGAGCCAGAAGTGAATTTTGCTCGAGGCAGATGATTTTTTGTGAACAATTTCCATGGATATTTCAAGTGCCATTCTAAGAAATGTGTATTTTGCTCCTAACAGAGTACTTGCCATGTGGCAGGCTCTGAAGGTCCTGGCACATAGTGGGCACCTGCTGAGCATTTGTTGTATGAAGAAATGCATGCAGTGCAGCTTCTTATATTGTTTAGACATCCTGTCTTAGTCATGCCTTCCTGGCCTAGTGCCACATGCATGGTGTTGAGATATGGAATTATTCTTGGGCCTTAGAAAAGCTCTGGTGATTATTGAAAAGGTTAACTATTTTAAAATAAACTAATACTTAAGAATTCATTTATAACCTGTATAATTTTATTTGTAAGCTGGATTCCATAGGTTTGAAACAAATGCCATGGTTCACATCTATAGAAGAATTTGTGGATAGCAGTGTGGAAGATTCAAAGAAGGAAGATTGTTCTGATAAAAAAATCTTGGCTGCTGTCATCAACAAAACAATTATTCCTCGACTTACAGGTATTTCTTTGTAACCTTGATAAATTTAAATTGATCTTAGAGTATAAGATCACTAGCTTCTGTTGCCATCCCATATTTTTTTTTTCAGAAGTTTTTGAACACATGGGAATGTTATATGCAGTAGAAATCAATAGAGATCATAATTTTGGCTGGTTAATAAACACTTGTTTGTGTGAGTGGCTACCAACTGCTGATATTCTGAACCTTTAGCATTCGTGACATTAGCATTGCTTTGTGGCACCTAAGTCATTTGTTAGTGGCACACACGTATCCATACTGCACGTTTCCTTTTTTCCTTAACTTCCCTCCTCCCCTTATGTTTCTGCTCTTTATTTCTTTTCCCTTTCTTTAAAAAAAAAATCATGACATTTGTCTCACATCTGCCCCTGGCAGTCAGAAGCACTTAGCATTGAAGTCTGAAGACACTTGTTTTACCTGACATTGTATTTGATGAGTATCTGTTTCACCATGTCACCAAAAATGGATTTCTGACAGCAAAACCCAAAGAAGTCTATTTTAAAAGCTGAGTCACCCAGCTTTATATTGCACCTCAGCCAACTTGATTAAACTTTAAAGCTTTTCCTGATGTAACTTGCAGTGCAGTTTTGGGACATGGGGTGTACTAGAAAGTTGTCACTTTTAACTAGCACTTTTAATTAATAATAGTATAGAATATATTTGCCTCATTTAAATACTATTCTGAAAAATCCAAATACTTATAATTGAACAGTCCCACAAATAAGTAGCATTATGAGAACTTAATACTGGCTATACATTTGTTTATTGTACCTTTATATTGAAAGAAATATTTTGAATCCACAGAAACTGTATTATAGCAAGTTATTTTAATGCCTTGGTTATGTGTCCTCTGTCGCTGTGGGTGTTATCACAGAACTGAGTTTTTCTGATAAGTTAAATAAAACCATTTCAGAACCAGCCTCATTAGTATTCAAATCTTCCTTAAATTTATAATATGTTTCTTAGTTTTCCTATAGCTAACTTCATATAACTTTATCTTTCTTTTTACTTTTGGTGACTAAAAATTATTCCTGAGAAGCCCCAGTCTTACTGCACTGTAACAGAGCCCTTAACTGATGTGATGATAGGCAGTGCCTCTGAGGCTGCAGGGCTGTTCTGTTGCTGATGTGTTTTTAAAGTAATTTGGCTTCTGTCTCCATACACCACTGAAATTGGCCTAACCAAGGTCACCAGCAGCTACCTGATAAGACCTCACCCGACATTTTTTAGCCCCTTTGTCCCTCTTGAGCAGAGAAGTGACATGATCTACCTTAACATTTTAACAGAATCACTCTGCCTATTGTGTTGAGAATGGACACTAGGGAGACCAGTCAGGAAGCTTTTTGCAGTAATCCAGGCAACAGATGGTAGTGTCTTGGGGTAGTATGTTAAAAGTAGAGGTGGTAAAAAGTAGTTGAATTCTGTATATACTGTGAAGGTAGCACTAACAAGATTTGCTAATGGATTAGTTATGGGTCAAGAGAGAATGAGAGGAATAGAATGACTCCATGATATTTGGCCTGAGCACCTGGAAGGACAGATTTGCCATTTTCTGAAATGGAAAAGTCTTTGAGAAGAGCAGGTTTAGGGCAGGGAGGTGTGTCAGCTCAGTTTGGGACATGTGAAGTTTGAGATGTCTCCCAAATGGAGATGTATGTCAAGTAGGCTGTTAAATACAGGAGTCTGAAAGGGGAAGTCCAGACTACAGATAGAAATTTGATATTCATCAGCATATACATGATATTTAAACCCACAAGACTAACAGTAAATACTAAGGAAGTGAGTGTAGATAGGAGAGAAAGTGTGTGACCTGAGTTGGGATACTCCAGCATTTAAAGGTTTAAGAGCTGACAGGCAGCCAATAAAGGAGACCATAGAGGTAGGCAGGAAGCCAGAGAAGTGTGGTATCCACGAAGGCAGGTGAAGAAAGTGTTCCCAGGAGGAAAGAACTCTGATTAGGTGTTGCAGTTGTTGCTGATAGGTCAAGTCAGATGAAGACTAGAGTTGACCATTGGATTTTGCAATGTGAAGGTCATCTGTGACTTGATAAGAGCAGTTTGCTTAGAACAGTAGGAGATAAGGCCTAATTGAAAGGAATTCAAGGAATAGGAGAGATTGGCGGGTACAAGTTTAGACATGTTTTTGTTTGGTTGGTTTTTTGTGTGAGTGTGTGTTTCGTTTTGTGGGTTTTTTTTTGTTTGTTTTTTTTTTTTGAGGTTTCTCGTGATTAAAGGAAGGAGATAACTCAAGAATGCCTTTGGTTAAAGCAGGGGGAGTAGGGCTAAGAGAGATTTTTTTTTTTTTTCCATATGAGAGAGATAGTAGCTTGTTTATAGGCTGATGGGAAAGATCCAGTAGAAGTGAAGATGATGTTGTCAAAGTGAGAGGGGAGAGTTGCTGGAGTAGGGTCTCCAAGTAAGCCAACGGGGTTGGAATCTCATGCCCAAGTAAATGGTTGGCCTTAGCTAGGAGCATGGGTGCTTCCGCCATGGGAACAGGAGACAAGTTAGGGCATGTGGGCACAGCTGGTAGATGTGTAGATGCTGTGGTTAGAGCTTGTGGAGCTTCTGATTGCTTCTATTTTCTCATCAAAGTAGGAAGTGAAGTGATCAGTGGAGAGTGAGAGTGAGGAAAAAGGAGAATGTGTGAAATAGTCATCTAGAAGAGTCAGTCCACCAACTGAGAGGGAGAGCAAGGAGGAAGGAAAAGGTACGAAATGATCATTTAGGTGAGGGGAAAGTGAATGGGCTAGGGAACCAGTAAGATTGCTGGGCAGCTTTAAGGGCTCACTTGAGTTTCATGGTGACGAATTTAAAGCGTGTTTTCCTCCAGCCACATTTCAGCTGCATGAATGTAGGTACAAACTCAGTGACAAGATGGATTTACCTGAGCTTGTGGCCTACTTAGGCAAGTTCAACAAAGCCCAAGAGAGGCACGGAAATTGCAGGTGTGTGAAAATATGTACTTGTAATGACTGGCCATGGATTTTAAACGAAATAAGGAGAAGACGCTAGAAGTGAGGGCTGTGAAAAGGTGGTTGGATCGATAGATTGCAGGTCCTGGTGAGGCTGAAGTCTTGTTAGAATAGAGGTACTAGAGGGAATGAGCTGGAAAGACAGGAGGTGGTTACCATCGAGTAGGGTGTATGAAATCTTGCCTACAGAGAGGATCAGTTACTGGTAATGACATGGTAGAGAGTGCAACCGTGGGAGTGAGTGGCTGAGGAAGGATGGAGCACAGGGTCATTGGAAAGGGGTGATCAAGGACTTGAGGGGCCAGACTATTGGAACAGTTAACTGCATGGATTTTGACAATAATTATTTTAGGAATTGTGTTGGAGAGAGTGGCAGGGTCCCAGGAGTTGATACTTCTCGGGGAATGAAAGGGAGCATCCTCCGGGGCACGGACTGCTTCAGCAGGATGGGTTAGTATGTCAGAGCCTGCTGATGTGAGATTATAAACTCAGTTGTTTTAGAATGGAAGGAAATGAGCAATAAGGAAGATGCATACCTCACTTCCAGGTATGAAGGATGTAGGACAGAAAATAATGATCTCTGGAGAAGGTGGCAGGGGAAGCATTGCTGTCAGGGAGGGGCAGTTTCAGTTAGGGTAAAAAGGCAAAGGGGGTGTACCAGCAGAAGCTGAGAAGATGGAGGATTTTGCTGATGTTGACTGTTCGTCTCCAGAGGTCTCAGTGGGTCAAGGCAGTTGGGGAGGGTTTCAGGACTGGGAGGTGAGAACAGAAGGTTAGAAAAGATGTTCTGGATAAGAGTCCAGGGCATGAGGGCGTGAGTGTCTTGGGCTTCTTGTGCTAACTGACATGAACATGTTTAAAGAGCATAATGAGATTAATCCCAGGGCAGATAGTGTTTTCAGGGATGGGAGATGCTGTCTTGTCACAAGCACGTGACAAGCAAAACCAATGTAGTAAATAAATTGTGCATCACTGAAATATTTGTTCCAGACTTTGTGGAATTCGTTTGGGATCCCTTGTCAACCTCACAGACAACAAGTTTAATAACACACTGCAGAATGGTTCTTGAAGAGCATTCAACTTGTGAAAATGAAGTAAGTAAAGGCAAACAGGTAGTATTTGCTAGAGTTATGAATGCCTTGATTTAGTTTTAACTTATTATTTTCATTACAAATCTTTCTCAATATAAGATGCAGAAGAAGTACTTACAAGAAAACTGTTTGGAGAAAAATAGGTTTATGTCTGATTGATAGAAACTAGGATTGACCATGTTTTCCTTTTTATTCTAATAAAATCATAAGAGTAAGCCTTGATACTTCTGAACACTGTAACAAGAGAGGTGATCATTATGGATGAAAGGATACAGATACATGTAATAAGACCCAGATTACTACTTGGATTCTGAGTGGCTAATTTCTCTCTGTTGAATGGTCTCAGACATGTCTCACAATGCAGCCAGCTATCATTCATGTTTATAAATATACACTGGCCCTGCAGAGATGGACAGGCATAAATGCATAGTGCAAATTCATCCCTTCAAAAAAAAAATGGAACAAAACTCATTGCCTTTGTTCTTTTGGCAAAATTTCAGTGACATTGTAGTCTTGCTTTAAAATTGATTTCAAAGTAAAGCTAACGTTCATTATATGAACTAGTTGTTTGTATTCTGCTAAAGTTAAGAGCAGTAATCTCTTTAAGAATTCAAAGTTCAGTAAGGTGGACACTCACAGTGATCTGGAACTGAGTTTACTGCACATAAGAAAAAAAGAAGAACTTTATACAGAGGCCTTGCTGAGAGTGCTGAATCTTATTTTCATTGTGGTATTCTGTTTGTCATTGAAAATGTTGTATACTCATGCAGTTAAGTAAGTAAACCTATTATGTTGAGCTTTAAGGAAATTAAGAGAGAAATTGACGATTAGAAAGTACCCAGGGAGAATGACCAAAGTGGTTGAAAATCAAGGAGGCATGTCATATTCACAGTATGAAAACCATCCGACTTTAGCATTTGGAATTGGGGTCATGAAGGAGGAAAGCTGTAGGTACAAGTGGGAGGGAAAGGAGGGGTGCCAGCCTGATTCTGCCTTTAAGAAGCATGTAACTGTAGAGGAAATAAGATATGTACATAAGCTATAATTTAAAATAGAAAATGAGAAGTGTGAGAAGAAGCAGGGAAAACAAGGAACACTTATTTACCTAATTCCTGTTGTGTACTAGACACTGAGGTTTTGTATCTGTGTCGTCTCACTTAATCCCAGCAGTCCTGTCAGAAATGAGTGGTAGCCTTATTTTACAGATGAAGTAAGTGAGTCTTGAAAATTTGTTCACAGTCACACCATGACTTAGAACTAGGATGTGAACCTTGATTAGTCTGACTCTAAATCCTGAGTTCACCTCTGACCACATTATCTTCATGTGAGCAGCACAGATAAAGTGCTATAAAACTTCAGAAAAGAGGCAGGAGAGACAAGTTACTTTTAGCAGTGGAAATTAGGAAAGAATTTATGTTAGAGGTGGCATTGGAGCTAGGATTTGAACATCTGGCCATTGATGGAGAAAGAGCATTTTCCACGTATCACCAGCAGGGTCAAGACACATGTAAGATACATGAAAACCGCTGAAGGAATTTACAGATATTTAACCTAAAGAAAAGAAGATTTGTAGGAAGATAGTGTTTATATCCAAAGAAGGAAAAGATTTATTCTGTGTTAGTTATAGAGCATAGAACCAGCATTAGTAGATAAGAACTATGAGGAAGCACACATATAAGCTTATATTTACTCTCTGTAGAATTATATCTTTATAATCTAAATGTAAATAGTTGTTTACCATTTATAAAATGCTTACGTTTTTTTCATTTGCTTTGATCTTGTGAGATGTGTTAATGTTAATGACATTTCATAGATGAAGAAGCTGGGGCCCGGAAGAGCCAAGTCACTTATAAAAGATGATTTGGATTCTAAGTGCCAGGCCTGACACTTTGTAATCACTAAAGCCTTTCAACAGTATTATAGATTGACTCATGAAGTTTTTATACTGGAATTTTTTATTCTGGAAGCCCTCCCACTATGAATGAAGGGTTCTTTAGCATCAGTAGGAGGCTAGACTATAGCAGGGATTTTCAGCCTTGGCACTATAGACATTTGGACCAGAGAAGTCATTGTTGTGGTGTGGGGCTGGGTAGGGGGATAGTGGTCTGTGCATTTAGAATGGTTAGAAGCATTCTGGCCCCTACCCACTAGATGCCGGTAGCACATCCTTCAGTCTTAACAGCCAGTAATGTCTCCAGACATTGCAAAAAGTCTCCTCGGAGGTCACTATCATCCCCGTTTGAGAATCAGTGGACCACATAATGTTCTAGGTTACTAAGACAGTTTGCCACTGAAATCACTATTTTTTTCAGTGGTGTGTCAGGAATTGAAAAGAATGAGAAAGGTTCCAGAAAGAATGGACTCAGGCAGCATAGTTTTCAAAAGTGAGAAGCAAGTACATTCTGTAAGCTAACACCTGGTTTTGATTCTGGTTAAGGTTCTAAAGATTCTAAAGCACAGAGGCAGATTAGGAATGCTTAAAGAAAGCAAGCAGTGATTACTGCAATCTAATGACAGGGTTCTGAAATACAAATGATACTTAACATTTGTTTAGCAAAGCAAATTCTCAAATATTATCTCACTTTCAGTGATAAATAAGGGATGTATAATTCAAGTACAGTAAATAGTGTATTTAACTGTCTTATGATGTTCTCACGGATCAGATGGGGAAAGATAAACTTAGCAGTTGTACAGGTAGATACATAGAAACTGGTAGATTATACCTAAGAAATACTGACCAATAGAGATGTAGCTACCTGTGGAGAGTCTCTTAGTATTATATATCTTTTCAGCTGTATCCTGTTCAATAATTTTATTGAACTGAATGAGGATGTAAAATACATGCTAATTTAATTTGCCAATGAAAAAAATGCTAGAATTCCTACCATAGACCTATGAATAGTAGGATTAGAATCCAAAAGGATTTCAAAAGAGTGGAGAAAATAGATTGACTTTCATAAGATGAAATTTAAAAGGAGTTAAGGTATATCCTATCTTTGTGTTCAAAAATTCAACTACATGAATAAAAAATGGAGAGACACAGCTTTGAAGCAGCATAGCTGAGACAGAGGGATTATAACCAATGACTCAGCAGTGTCACTTGAGTAACAAAGACTCGCAGGAGTTCATCCTTCCATAGGTGTGTGCTATTTCAAGTGAAAGTGTTGTATGTGCTCTCTACCCACAGATAAGACCTTCCTGGCATTGTTGCATTTAATTCTGGGTATAAAGCATATTAAGTGGAGAGTACCTGCTAAGATGGTGTGGGAAAGAAAAGATACAGGAAAAATGTGATCACAATCTTAAAGTCTGAAGGACTGGCATATGGAAAAGGGATGACGTTTATTCTGTGTCATACTGCAGGATAAACTAGGACCAAGGAGTGGAAGCTATAGGAGAGAAGTTTGTTCCTCATTTTTGAATGAAATTTAATAGTCAGAAACTGCCCAAAGTTATGGGTGCCCTCGGGAGATAGGTAAATATTGTTAGGCATAGGTTGAGTGGCAAGTTAGTGGAGATGTGAACATCAGTGTAACCATCGGGTAGGTATTTAGATAGATTGGTGGTTTTCGAACTTCTGTTTTTATCAACAAAACCTTTTTCAAATAAAATCTTACAGAACCCAGTGCACAGTCACATACACAAAAGCAAAAGCTGTTCCTGCTGTAGCAAATACCTGCCCTCATTCTCCCTTGAGCATCCCAACACCTGTCTCATACATGGACGTACAAAGCAGCCTGAAAACCACTGGCTCAGGCTTATCAGTACCTTTACAAAACCATATTAAAGTATATTTACAGAGAGGATGTGTGTGTATGTGTGTGTGTATGCAAGTCTGAATGTGTAGTTCAGAATGCTTGTTAAAATTATTGTTTGGAGAACTTTATTTTTTTCAACAAATAGAAAATGTATTTTAATAACTTGGAAATAGTTAATTAACTCAGAGTTTTACAATGTGTGAGTTTGGGGCTTGTTGTTTTTAAACAATTTATTTGTAAATAATTTCAAACTTATAGAATAAGAATAGTATACCAATATACCCTTTACCCAGATTCACTTACCATTAATATTGGGCCCATTTGCTTTATCATCTGCTTTCCCATTATATATACAGATGATTTTTTTCCTTCCTGAACAATTTTAGGGTAAGTTGTATATTTATTAAGAATAAGGATATTGTGTTACATAACCATAGTACAGTTGTCAACTTCAGTAAATTTAACAATAGTTAATCTACCATCTGTATTCCACTTGTCAGTTGACCCAGTAATATCCTTTACAGCATTTTTTTTAGGACTATTTTTAAGAAACAAAAATTTAAACAATATGGAAGTATGTGTCAAGGCTGGTATTCAAAACCATTTAAAGGAAAACAAAGCATAGCATTTTTTTTTTTCCTAGCACAAACCCCAAACTCAATAATTTAGATAAGCTCAGATAGTACTTTTGAATGTATTACCGAGAACATTGTTCTTGTTTCTTTGAATAGAATTCAGAATGTTTAAGAAATATAGTAAAATAAAATAGTTTTTTGTTTTTAATGTTAATCGAACATTGCTATATAGTCATTTGGAGAATATATTATAGATAATTAAATGGAAAGAGAAATAGTACTTCAGTTAAATGTGCTTCTTATGAAGAGTATATTTGGTTGAATTCTACATTTATGAGTAATTTGGTTAGGAAAGGATATATGACAACTTAATTTGTGCTACAGACATTGTGATTGACTATTGAAAAATTACTTTTACTCTGTTGTACATGTGCTTTTCATTTTTAAATTTAGATTTTTTTTTAAGAATAAGAAAATATCTCATTACAGAAATATTGGTAATAGATGAAAAAAAATTATCTTTTCATCCTAGTACAAGGACTGATACCATTGTAGGATGTTTTATCCAGTCTTTTTTTCTTTCCAAAGTTATAATTCCAAATAGACATGTAAGTTTGTATCCTGGTTCTTCCACTTAACACTACCTCATTAAACATTTGCATTTGTATGTTACTATAGTCTTCATAAACTTTAACTACCTAGATAATATTGCCATGCAGATGATGGCTATAACATGACATCCTTAAAATTCCGTATTACTGAATTAAATGAATAATTGTTTTTATAAGGATCAGCACAAAGCTGGTTCCCATGAGGCAGAAGTTAAGAATGTCCCAAATGTCCAGCTTCTCCGTACTGCTGTACCACTCCATCATCTCTAACATCAACTACTTCCCCTATCCTCAGTACTCTCCTTCCTGTCTTTGAGTTCAGTAATTCACTGCAATGTCTCACAAAGCTCATGAACCGTACTTACAGTTAAGTGATTTATTAGGGAAGTAACGTGGTACAACTCAGGATCGACATCCACTTGGAAGTAACAGGAACAATTCAGGACAGCTTCTCACCCTTTGCTGCTGGGCCCTGCTGTGGCCTTGCTGCTGCCGTATCCTGCTGGGGTCCTTCTCTGGCAAGTGTTACAACTCTTAGCCCCATGGGTAGGCAGGCCCCACCGCAGCCGTCTCATGCCCGTCTCCTGGTTCCTGCCGTCTCCTGCCTCTATCACCCTTGCTACTGCTGTGCCACTGTCTCTCGCTCGCTCTCTGTCTGCTGGGTCTAGGAGGGTCTCAGAGCAGGGATCCCAAGTCCAAAGGATGCACTCTGTTCCCGTTTCTTCTTCTTGGTGGTAGTCAAGTCCTGCTTTTCTGCCTCTGGGATGGCTCATTTTCAGCCTAGTGGGATGGCAAAACTGACCAATCCCCTCGTTAGAGTTCCATACACCTTATTTGCATGGTCCCACCCCTACAAGGGTGCCATGCACCTTATTTGTATTATTAGCAAGCTGTCCAGTCCCCTTGGTGGACAACAAGCACTGTGTTTGTATAGCCCTCCCCCCCCCCCCAATATTTTGGTGGGAGTTACAAGACCATGGCTAGAAAGACCATATAAAAGTGATACATTGCACCACATGAATATTTTGGTTATTTCTAATTTTTACTATACCAACAAAATGAATTTGCCAAAGTCAGTGTCAAAGGACATAGACAAACCAACAAAGGAGCCATAGCTAGAGGCTAGAGTGCATGGAAGACATCTACAAATCAATAAAAAGACAAAGATAATACAAAAATAATAATAAAATAGGCAAGTAGCTTAATTCAGCACTTCACAAAAAGGCATGTCCACATATCAAATAAGATTCTCAACATTACATTACTGAACAGTGAAAATTAAAATACAATGAGATATTACTACATACCTACTGTAACTGCAAACATTAAAAAATACATTCCAAATTTTGATTAGGAAGTAGGGGAACAGGATTTCTCACACACCGCTGGTGGGAATATCAGTGGGATACCACTACTTTAGAAAAAAGTCTGGCATTTACTACAAAGTTGAACATATGGACACATCCTATGGCCTAGCAATTCTATTCCTATGTATATACCCATTACAAACATATAGCCCTAGGTACTGAAAGACATGTATAAGAACATTTATAGCAGCATTATCTGTGATGGTCCCTAAACTATAAACACTCTAAATGCCCCATCAGTAGTAGTCATGCAGCAGAATGCTATACAGTGGTGAAAATGAGCAAACTACAGCCATATGCAACAACATGGATAAAGTTCTGTTGTCCCCAGTTGTGAAAATGGCATGATGGGGATGTCTAACTGCCTCTAATTTCACAAGGGAGGACGAGAATCAAGATCAGTAACCCAAGGCTGATTCCTGTGAGGCAGAGGTCAGATATACCTCCACTCTGTAACCTTTTTATCAATTCTGACACCAGCCATCCCTCCCGCAGCACTCTACTTACCTGCTGGGTTCAGTGACCACCCAAAACTCACAGACAATACTCACAATTATGGGCTTTATTAGGGGAGTAACAGGTTACAATTCAGGATCAGGAACAACTCGGGATACAGTTTTTCGATCAGCTTCTTCTCAGCCGTGCACGCAGTCAGGCCTCTCTCTGGCCCTCGGCCTCTGCCCTGCTTGGGCAAATGTTACAAAGCTCTTTAGCTTTGCCAGTAAGTACCTGGAGGCACCTCACTCCACCAGTAAGCCTCAGCCCAAAGGCACTCAGCTCTCTCCATGGGACAGCACACCCACTTGTAGCCACCTCGCTCCATGGGCTGGGAAGCCCACTGTGCCTTCGCATACTGGTCTCCTGGTTCTGCTGCCACCATATCTCTGCCTCTGCTTCTTGCCATCTTGTGCCATCTCTGGTGTTATAGGTCTCTGTCTCCTGGGTCTAGGAGGTTCTCAGCACAGGGACCTCAGGTCCAGAGGATGCAGTCCACTCCTGGCTTGTCTTTCTTAGTGGTAGTGAGGTCCCCTCTCTGCTCTGGGATTGGCTCTCTTTTTAGCCTAGCAGGATGGCAGAACTCTCCAATCCTCATTAGGGTTCCATACACCTTATTTGCATGGTCCCACCCTCACAGGGGTTCCATGCACCTTATTTGAATTATTAGCAAGCTGTCCAATCCCCTTGGTAGGCCACAAAAACCTTATTTGCATGTTATTGTTGCATGTTGTCTTGGTGAGCCACAGCAACTTTCATAGTCAAAGGGATCTGTGCCTTTCTCACTGTTTGTAAAATGTTTTGTACTTTCCCTAAATTTAATCTTACGCACAGATGGTGATGAGATCGCTAAATTTTTAAATCACTTCATTGAGCTTGGTATCATTGGCCTCTTTCAGCACTTTGGATTCAACCTTATGGGCTGCTCATCATCAAAGTGACTTCACCTCTTTATTGCTCACTGGCTGACCATGAGTATTTCAGATGTTGTTGTTGTTTTTGTTAGGTGCTGTCAAGTCAGTTCCAACTAACAGCAACCCTGTATACAACAGAATGAAACACTGCTCGGTCCTGCACCATCCTCCCAATCATTATTCTTGAGCCCATTGTTGCAGCCACTGTGTCAGTCATCTCATTGAGGGTTTTCCTCTTTTTTCACTGACCGTCTACCAAGCATGATGTCCTTCTTCAGGGACTGGTCCCTCCTGATAATACGTCCAAAGTACGTGAGACGAAGACTCGCCATCCTTGCTTCTAATGAGCATTCTGGCTGTCCTTCTTCCAAGACAGATTTGTTTGTTCTTCTGGAAGTCCATAGTAGATGCAGTATTCTTCACCAACACCGTATTTGCATAGTCCCACACAATTATTCTATAGGAGTCACAAGACCATGGTGAGAAAGGCCATGTAAAAGCGATTCATCGCATTGCACCAGCTAATAGTTATTTTAAAACCTGATTTTGTGAGCATGTACAAATTGACACCACTGTTAAAATTACTTTTTTTTATTAAACATAGTTCCACCTATGACAGTTATTTTAAAACCTGATTTTGTGAGCATCTACAAACTTACAGCCCTGTTAAAAGTACTTTTTTTGGTTAAACGTATTTCCACCTATGACCACCACTTATGGTTTTCACATTTTCATATCTAGGGCTTGCTTAAATCCATTCTTTCAAGGATAAAGAAGGCAATAGAAGATGATGTATTTATTCCTCTGTATCCAAAGAGGTAAGAACTGTTAGTTTTTAAATTGGTTGAAATAGCTAATCATGTAATATAGATTTAAGAATATAATGAAAAGAAACCGTTTATGTGTTTTCAAAGCTTACATACACATAATATTAAGATGCAAGTTGAGATCTCAACAAGTATTTCTCAGGCACCTACTGTGTGCCAGGAATGGCATTTAGCACTTGGTGGACATACTTTTTTTATGGTATCCTGGGAACATGAGGAACCCTGGTGGCGCAGTGGTTAGGAACATGAAAGGTGGTATAGCAGAGTGGCTAGGAGCACAGATTTTGGAGACTGGATCCACCATTTGACCTTGGGCCTCTCTATGCATCAGTGTCCTCATCTGTAAAATGGGGATAAAATTAGTGCTTATCTTACAGGATGTTATGAGGATGAAGAACGGGTTCAGAACAGAACAGGCCTGGCACAGAAGAAGCACAGCATAAGGCCTAGAAGCTCACTGAGGGGCCAGAAACTGCATCAGTGAATTCTGTATTCACTTTAAATTAGGAGACAGGTATTTGATACAAGTTCATACAGTTGCTAAGAAAGCAACTGTTTATAATGTAATGGTTCATGAACTGTAGTTATCCAGTGGGTACTCCTCATAGGTTGGAAAAGCTTTATGGAGGGGGAAAAAAGGAACCTCTGAGCTTTCTGAGTGGAGTACCTAGGTGGTGCAAACAGTTAATGTGCTTGCTGCTTACCAAAGGATTGGTAGTTTGAGTCTGTCCAAAGGTGCATCAGAAGAAAGGCCTGGTGATCTGCTTCCAAAAAAATCAGCCATTGAAAACCCTATGGTGCACAGTCCTCCTCTGACACACATCAGGTCACTGTGAGTCGGGTCAATTCAATGACAACTGGTAATCTTTCTGAGTAGGGTATAGATACATTTAACATTTTAAACCATGAAGAGAAGTCTGCAAGTAAAAATTTTGGTAAGATTTGTTTATTTTGTCACTTTTTAGGTAAGGAATACATTCACATGGTTCAAATGTGTGTGTTTATTTTTTATTTATTTATATTTGGAATGAAAAGCCTTACTCCCTCCTACTCCTGCCCTCTGTCCACCCAGTTTCTGCGCTTCCCCCTTGTACACATACTTGCACATGCAATAATAATCACTGTTATTTTTTTAGAATTCATTCATGCAAATACAGGTAAATGCTGATAATTGCTATAATCTCATTTTTCCCTTGATTTCTATAGAAAAGGATATATACTGCAAATGGTTGAAACCAATGTTTTGTACCTTACTTTTTTCACTTAGTAAATCTTTGAGACCTTTTCATGTCATGTTTAAGTAGTTTTCTCATTGTTTTTTAAACTGCATAATATTTCATAATATAGATGTACTGTAACTGATGGTGGCACAGTGGTTAAATGCTCAGTTGCTAACCGAAAGGTCGGTGGTTCGAACTGACCTCCTGCTGTGTGGGAGAAAGATGTGGCAGTCTGCTTCCTTAAAGATTTAGCCTTGGAAACCCTATGACGCAGTTCTGCTCTGTGCTGTAGGGTTGCTATGAGTTAGAATCAACTCAATGGCAATGGGTATATATAGCAGTAACTGATGAGCATATTACTGGTTTCCATTACCAACAGTGATGTTGTGAATGACCTTTACACATATCATTCTGTATGTGTGCAAGTGTATCCACAGAGGGCATTCTCAGAAATGCATCCGTAGGGTCAAAGGGTACATGCGTTTGTAGTTTTGATAGATATCACCAAGTATCGCCAGCGCCTTCACTTATATTCTATTAAGGCTATTCGGTTGCTAAAAAAATTTCAGCTTTTTAATTCCTGGTTCTGGGAGATTAACAATTCTTGGCATTTTCTTTTTTCTCTTTATGTCAAATTAGTGCTGTAGAAAACAAAACATCACCACATTCAAAGTTCCAAGAAAGACAGTTCTGGTCAGGTCTAAAGGTAAGCAGAAAACTGCAACAACAAAAATCCAGATTTTTAAAAAATCCAGCTTATTACAGAGCAGAGGTCTGCAAGCATTTTCTCTAAGGGCCAGATAGGAACTGTTTTAGGCTTTGCAGGCCACATCATTTCGGTCACAGTTACCTTTGCCACTGTAGTGCAAAAGTAGCCACGAAGGAATGCACAGGGTTTTGTCCCAATAAAACTGTGTTTATGGACAGTGAGATTTGAATGTCACATGATTTTCACATGTGACAAAATATTTTTTTTCAACTACTTAAAATGTAAAACTCATTTTTTGCTCATGGGCCCTACCAAAACAGGCAGCAGGCATTTAACCCACAGGCCATAGTTGGCCAACCCCTGGTCTGAAAGATAAAGGATAAAATCATTAGCTAAGTCACTGGCAGTGGGGATGGTAAGAAGATGGATTCAAAAGCAGTTTAGGATAAAGCATTGAAAGGATTTGATGACTAATTAATTACATATGAGGAGTGTAGGATGCTAGCCAAGTTAGCTTATGATGGCATTCTTTGAGGACATTTTAGGGACTACAGGAAGAAGATTTGGAAGGAAAGGTGAGAACTGTTTTGGACACTGTGTTGAAGATGCCTGTGTAATATATAAGTGTAGAGGTCTAGGAGTCAATTGAATATATGAATCTGAATTCCAGGGAACAGACGTGAGCTAGAGATTTGAGAGTGAACCCAGTTAGCAGTGTTTGGGGCCATGGTCATGAATGACAGCCTCTGAGGAGAGTGGATGAAGCATGTGAAGAGGGCTAAGGAAAGAACCTTGGGAAACACTGACATGAGAGGTGGACAGAGAAAGTGGGATCTTCAGAGGAGCCTTAGAATGGTTACAAGAGAGTGGCTTGCTAAGAGGGAAGCTAAGAGAAGATTTTCAGAAATGAAGACAAGATTGCTAAATGTCACCAAAGATAATAAGAGAAAGACTGAAAACATTTATTAGGTTTGACAGAAGATCATAGATGACTTCAGTTAGCAAGAATATTTTCAGTGGGGTGAATTGATATTTGCCATGTGGTAAAGTCAGGGAGAAGACTTTCCAGGAAGTGGGAGCAGCACGAACAGTAATGTGAAATGTGAAGAAGAGTTGCAGGTTAGTAAAACTGCATCTAGCTCAGCACTTAGAGTAATATTATAGTACTGGAAAGAAAAACACCATAAAATATACAGAAAATTCTAGAGTTAGAGGAGGGAAAGGCAAGCAGTATTTATTAGAACTTATTATGAGTACTTTATCCAAGTTATATCCAAACTCACAAGTTATTATTAATTTCATAAAGAAATGAAGTTCTCAACATTGATTGATTTCTCAAGGTCACACATTGTAGCAGTGGCACTGGCTTTGATGGCAGCCCTTTATGAATCCTGGGGTCTTTTGATCTTGTACCCAGTAGCCCTGGGCTCTGGGAGAGGATGGATTGGGGGAGGAAAATTGTTGATCTGGAAAGGCTCCAGTAAAGTTATTTGAGATAGATAACTTTGGTTATTCTAGAAAATTAAAATAGGATGAGCAAATACATGAAGATTGGAAAGAATCAAGTATTTATTCAGGAATGTTTTTGTATCCATTCTAAAATTGACAGTTCCACCAGGGCTAGTTGTAGTAAGAATGTAAAAGTGTTTGATCAACTCTTAAGTTTCTTGGAGATTAATACACTTTCCCTTTGGGAAAAGGATGCATATTCATTTGATACTTTATTTTAGCTCTTCCGCAATACTCTTCTTTGGAATGGACTCCTCCCAGATGAGGCCTTGAAAGAGCTTGGATTGGGGAAGCTGCTGAATCGCTACCTTATTATAGCTCTTCTTAATGCCACACCTGGGCCAGATGTTGTTAAAAAGTGCAGTGAGGTAAGTTGTGTAGAAACTGATTCTAATTTTATCACTTTTTAAAAGTCAGTTATTGAAATCTATTTTAAAACAAAATAACTAAAATTGTGGTGCTGACACAGGAATATACAAAGCAGTTTAACAGACTAGAAAACCAGAAGCATTCCCTCTGTATTTAGGAATGAGTATACCAGTAACAGTTGCTATCGAGTCGACTCTGACTTATGGTAACCCCATGTGTATCAGAGTAGAACTATGCTCTATAGGGCTTCCAGTGGCTGAGCTTTTGGAAGCAGGTCATCAGGCCTTTCTTCTGAGACATCTCTGGGTGGTCTGAAACTTCCAACCATTTGGCCACTCATGGATTCCAAGACTTGGTTACTGGTTTGAAATATCACCAGTACGGAAAGGAAAAATTATTTAATAAGTGCTGTTAAATGTTTACAAAAATCTGTTAGATCCTTACCTCTCACTATATACCAACATAAATACCAAGTGAGATAAAAGAATGAAATGTAAAAAAGAAAACTTTAAAATACTGTATTAAGAAGAAGATAAATGACCATATCTGAGAGTGAGGGAGTTTTTTTCTAAACCTAAAGCAAAAGAAGACATAAAGAGAAAAAAATAATAGATTTAACAAAAATATAAAACTTCAGTGGATCAGAAACATAAATCAAAAGAGTGTAGAGATGCATTGATCATTGTTAAAACTGGAGAATGTGTTCATGGAGCTCACTGTACTATTCCTTCTACTGTTATATACATCTGAAATTTTCTATAACGAAGAATTTAAAAGAGAGTTGAGAAACTGAAAAATAAAAATTAGAATTCACAGGATTGTAATCCAAACAATATAAAATGCCCTTTACAAATCAGTAAACAGTTCATGTCCTCCCAAATAAAAATGGCCGAAAGACATGCAACAGGCAGTTCACCAAAAAAAAGAAATGTGTAGGGGACACAGTTACGGATATGTCTTAGACAGCTGAACACCTCACAAGGTTGGTTTGCTGGATTTGAAGGCTTAGGACCATAGTCTTATGGGACAACTCACTTAATTGGCATAATATAGTTCATAAAATGTATATTCTACATCCCAATGTGCTGAGTACCATATTTTTACATAAATAATGCATGTGTTACACTTTTTTTGCCAACCTTGCCATCCCCCCACCCTGCAAGGTATTCTTGCAAGCGCGCTATGCTACTTTTTTTTTTTAGAGCAACATGTAAAAAAAATAGCATAGTGTGCTTGCAAAAATACCTTGCAGAGGGAGGGTGTGATTGGCAAAAAGAACATACAACACGTGTTATTTTTGTAAAAATATGGTAGTGTCTAGGCTCTTAAAAGCTTGCAAGCACCCATCTAAGTAAGATACAACTATTGGTCTCTACTCATCTGGAACAAAAGAGAAGGAAACCAAAGACTCAGGGAAGAAAGTAGTTTATAGGACTATAGTCTACAAAAACCACCACATCATCTACCCTGAGACTAGAAGAACTAGACAGTGACCAGCTATCACTACCAACCATTCTGATCAGGGCCACAGTAGATGGACCCTGATAGAATGGGAGAAGAACATGGAACAAAACTCGAATTCTTGAAAAGTCTAGACTTACTGGACCAGTTGAGACTAGAGAACTCCCTGAGACTATTGCTCTGAGATATTCTTTAAACCTTAAACCAGAATTGTCCCTTGAGGTCGCCCTTTAGCTTAATAATAGATTGGCTGGTAAAGAATATCACCTGTGAGTAATAAGCTTTTTTAAAAATCATCTGTGGGAGACCAAATGGCCAAAAATTACTCAAAAGCAAAAATGAGAAGGTAAGAGGGCAAGGAAACTAGAGTTCTGGAAATGGTACAACCAGAACAGAATAAATGAGAATGATGACACATTGTGAAAAAGGTAACCAATATCACTGAATAATTTGTGTAGAAATTGTTAATGGGAACATAATTTGCTATGTACATTTTTCACCTAAACACAATAAAATAGTATTTTAAAAAAAGGATAAGTAAAAATAAACATGTAAAAAAGATTAACAGTACTAATAATAGAAATACAAATTATAGTAAGAGTGTTTACCTGTTGGCAAAGTTTTTTTGTTATTAATAAAGTTATAATTCCCAGTGTTGTCAAAAATACAAGGAAACAGCCCCACGTCATTCCAGGAGCACCATTCACCTAGAATGTGCAGTGCTGCAGTTCTGGGAAGCTGCTTCCTGCAGTAATAGAAGGAAGAATACAACTTCTCTGGAGAATATCCTAGCATGATGTATACCTGCCTTTTGACTTAGTAATTTTATTTCTAGGAATTTATCCTAAGTTAAAACTCAGAGATGCTTATATAGATTTAAGTACAAAGAATCCTGTCATAGCATTATTTATAATAAAAGATAGCTGGAAACCACCCAAATGTCCAGAAAACATTATGGTCTATTCATAAAAGTCATGTGAAGAATTTTTAAGAATATAGGAAAATACTTTATAATATAAAATTTGAAAAAAACAACATACGAACTTTATATATTAACTTCTGTCAAGAATGATTGCTCTGGCTATAGTTTTTATATCATGAAGTTTTAAACATTATATACCAAAAATTATTTACGTCATCCATGTTGTGTGTTTAAGGTTCAGTTTAGTCCCCTTTGACTATGAGGGTGGTCATGAAGTATATTTACACATCACTGTCTCCACAGCTATGGCTAGAAGACCAGGACAAGAAAATGTGGTTTTAAGTCCTGGGGTCGTTTATGGAAAAGATAGATGGTTACTTGAGAATTTTATTGAGACTTGTGATACAAAACAAGGGGAAAGCAAGTGCAAGGCCAGTAAGGGCTGGTTTTAAAATTTTTTTAAAAGAGATACAGTTTGCATCACAAAACTTGTAGGACCTTCTGCCTTAGGCAGTCACTGTGTGTTTTATCTGGATAATTAAAAAAGGTGATTCAAGAATAGGATAAATCTTTTTTCCTCGACCATGTTTTAAATGCTGATAATCAGATTTATTTTAGAAAGAATACATTCCAAACCTTTATTTTTGATGTATTTTATAAGTTAAATAAAGGTTTTATGTATTTGATGTATTTTTACTTTTTTCCCAACTTTGTATTTTCTATTTTGATTTTATCAAAAGCAGCATAACCTGTGTGATTGTCCAAGATTTCTGTGAATGGTATGATCTCAAATTTTTCTTTCCTTCACATCTCTTACCCTTCTTTTTTCCTTCCTTCCATTATGAGGAAGGTTTTCTTTCTTTTTCCTTAATATTTTTATGTTTTTACCAAAAATTTCCACAAAATCATGTAGTACCTTTAGGATGATGATGATAAGATAAACATTTTTTTCAAAAAGAAGAACTGCCCATATATTGACTTATGCTGTCATGGGCATTTAAAGCACTGTATTGAATTGGTAGATGAAAGTTTTTATTTTTATTTTTTTTTATGCTGTGTATCTTAAAATCACCTACTTGACTCCTTAAACTTATTTATGTAGAGAATATACTAGAAAACCAATTTCTTACTGTGAAATAATACTGAATGTACATATTTTATACTAGTTGTATTTAACTAAAAATGTTTTATGTCTAGGAAATTTCTGGGGTTTCAGTTGTAAATGTTTCGACAGATTTAATGGCTCAGGAATCTAAGAATATAGAAAGAAATATAACTGGAGAGTCTTCATAAAGTCTGTTTTAAGCTCTTAGCCTTAAAGTATGATTTTTTTTTAAAAAGTATGTAAGCCTTCATAAACCAAGTAGAGAAAATTCTGAAAATTTATGTAACCATAAACTATAAAACAGGGAGAATAATCTTTAACTTGCATAATCAGTTGAGTGTTAAATGAGATTATGTTGGTAAGTCCTTAGATGATAACTCATTATTGTAAACCAACCATGTGTTTTTATTAACAGATAACAGCATGTCTCCCAGAAAAATGGTTTAAAAATCCTGCCATAAGGACATCTATTCCCCAGCTAGAAAACTTCATCCAGTTTTTATTGCAGTTTGCACTTAAGTTATCTGGAAGTGAATTCAGGTAATACATATTTTGTTTTCATCTTCATAAGCATAATTCAAGTACTCTATTATGTTCTCAGCCATTTTAAGAAATATTTGTACTTTTTCTATACTTCTATAAATCTGTTTGTGATTCTGTAGTACTGTAGAATTAGTACATATTTTCATGTGTAACCCTTGCAGTTGCTCACTATTCTCACACCTCATGCATATTAGTCTATATTTTTAAATGTAAATCTTTTCCAAAATATGCATTTCCAGAAAACTTATACTACACATACACAGGAATTTAGAATTAAATTATTAAATCAAAAATCACTTACTAAGCTTTTTTTAATGTATTTTTCATTTTCATGGCCATTTTTTAAAATTTCAGCATTTGTTAAGTACAAGTATATAGCCTGGTGTTCTACCCAACAGTAGCTAGATTTCTGGTCTGGGTGGCTCATTAAAAATGCCAGATACTGATACAGCCAAACATGGCAGCTTAGTCACACACACCATGCCGTCCCCCAATATCAAGGAACTGAGAAACCAAGTGAAACAGAGATGACAATCCGGGAACCCAGAACAGCAAACAGAAGGATGAAAAATCAGATCCAACACTGGAAGGAAGAAGAAACTAAATGAAAACAGCGAATGAGGAGACATATGGACCATAGGAGCCCTGCCAGCTGGCCGGACACAGCATGGCCATCTTGACACAAAGCAAGCAGCATTCCTGTGTGAGGAGCACAGGAAGGCAACTTCATGAAATCCCCAGCAGAAGATGGAGATACTGAGTAGACAAACCCAGAGGGAAGCAAGGTGAGCAGAACATAAACTAGATCTAAGGAGGCAGTGCAAGAAGGCAAGCAACAGCCCTAGGGATCCAGGCAACCATAGAGCAGGGAGGGAGCCAGAAAATAGGGATAGAACTACTTACAAACGGGAGTCCCTGATCATTTGTGCGAGTGGCACTCGTGGAGAGGAGGATCCTGGGACTGGTGGCTAGAGATTTCTTACCTTACTGGACTCTGGACAGCCCCCTTCCTCGCATTTGATTGGGGCTGGATCCTAACTGCCAGCTGCACGATTCAGGGAGTGCTCTGGCGCCCATGCAAGAGACTGGAGGAACATGCTCCCCCATCTGCCTTCTTCCTGGTGACCAACAATGTACCCTCCCTTGCTCCCCCACCCAGTGATCTATGGCATACACTCCTGTGCAGCTGCACTGGTGACTGGAGGCTGATGCCCACACGTCACACACACCCAGCAGTCAGCAGTGTACACTCCCACCCCCAGACCAGCAACCAGAGCCAAGAGACCCCTCTTTCCCCGCCCTGCCCACCCAGCAACCGGCAGTGCAAGCTCCAGTGCCACCTAGCCAGTGATCTGTGCACCCTCGCCCCAACCACCCAGCAACTGGCAGTGTACACACACATAACCTAACCCAAAGACTGGCAAGAAATGCTCTCCGCACTCACGCCTGTTGACCGGCCAGACAGACATATATCTCTTCATCAGCAACACCAATCACATTCTGACAGGCACCATCTGCACCTCTGCCATACAATGAGCAGGTGATCCTGGTGCCCTCATCCAGTGTCCATCTAGCTATAACATCACACATCGCACACCCAAACAGTTCCTGCAGGCTGTCTGCACTTGCGCTGAAACCCCATGATACCCTATCACCTACTGAGAAGCCAGTTCTTGCATGCATAGCAGGCCTACCCTGTACATTTGGGTAGCATTCCCTCACGGTGGATACAGAGACATCTTGTGCTCATCTCCAGAGAACGCACTAACTGCTAGCATGAACCTGGAAGGACCCTGTGTTCCCACAAGGGCTGTGGAGGGACCATGACCACCCAACACTTGTCACCCAATATGCAGGAAAAAATCTGCTTTCCCACCTCCACTCAGTCTTAAGAGAAGACATACGAGCCTAACCACAGAGGACTCATACATGGGTGTGACTCTATACTCACTAGTGAGAGGAAATCACGCCCAGCCAACAGACACCACCAAAGTTACACCTTAATGCCTAAGAGACGGCAGATGCTAACAAATCATGTGAAGAAATAGGATAAGATGGCTCAAACAAGTGAGCAAAATGAAGGGGCAGAAAACCTTCCTGAGGAAGAAATGGTAATAAAACTACCTGATAAAGAATTTAAAATACTTATATATACAGGATCCTCAAAGAAATCAAGAAAAACACAGACAAAACCTGAGAAGAATTCAGGAAAACAATGCAAGAACAAAATGACAAAAGAAATAGAAAATTAGAAACCATACAAAAACAACTAGAAATCCAGATTAACAATAAAATATCAGAAATAGATAACTCAATGGAAGGACATAGAAGTAGAATTAAATCAATGGAAGAAAGAATTGACTAAATAGAGGACAAATCCCTTGATACTAATTTGAGGAACAGTCAGAAAAAAAGAATGAAGAAAAATGAAGGAAGCCTAAATGTAGGACACCATTAAGAGGACTAATTTACGCATGATAGGAATTCCAGAAGAGACGGAGAAAAAAAGAGTACAGGCAGAATTTTTGAAGATTAGCAGAAAACTTCCTTAATACCATGAAAGACGAGAAGGTTTCCATCCAAGAAAATCAGCAAACCCCTTACAGGATAGACCTCAAAAGAAAGTCGCCAAGACATCATAATCAAACTTCCCAAAACCAAAGACACAGAATTCTGAGAGCAGCTCATGAAAAATGAAATATCCCTTACAAAGATCCACCAGTAAGACTAAGCACAGATTTCTTGGCAGAAACCCTGCAGACAAGAAGGCAATGGGATGACATATATAAAACCCTGAAAGAAAATAATTGCCAACTCTCTTAGTCATCTAGTGCTGCTATAACAGAAATACCACAAGTGGATGGCTTTAACAAACAGAAGTTTATTCTCTCACAGTCCAGGAAGCTAGAAGTCCAAATTTAAGGCGTCAGCTTCAAGGGAAGACCTTCTCTCTCTGTCGGCTCTGGAGGAAGGGCCTTGTCATCAATCTTCTCCTGGACTAGGAGCTTCTCAGTGCAGAGACCCCTGGTCCAAAGGACACGCTCTTCTCCTTGCACTACTTTCTTGGTAGCATGAGGTCCCCATGTCTCTCTGCTCACTTCTCTCTCTTATATCTCAAAAGAGATTGACTTAAAACTCAATTTAATCTTATAGATTGACTTTACATAACTGCTGCTAATCCCCTCATCAACATCATAGAGATAGGATTTACAACACATAAGGAAATCACATCAGATGACAAAATGGTGGACAGTCATACAGTACTGGGAATCATAACCTAGCCAAGTTGACAGATATTTTTGGGGACACAGTTCAATCATGACACCAACCAAGAATCATATATCTAGCAAAATTTTCTTTTACATATGATGGTGGAACTAGCACATTCCTGGATAAACAGAAACCAAGGGAATATTTAAAGACCAGACCAACCTTACAAGAAATATTAAAAAGAGTCCTTCGGACAGAGAACCAATGACATCAGACAACAACCTGAGATTAAGAGACACAACAGCATCACCCACATACCAACCCAGATAAAGAATTCTCAAAAGTAAAATAAGGTTGCAGAGCTGAAAATGGAACCAGAGATGTCACTCTGTAAACAACAACTTCAAAACAAAAAGGAGAAATAAACAGTGTACTTACAGAACTTCCATATGGAGAGGAAGTTAAGGCGACAGCAAGATATAACAGACTGTTTTAAACTTAGGAAGGTATCTGTAAAATTAACAACAACAAAAGATACAAAAAGAAAATTCATAAACAGAAAAAACTCATCACAGAACATTAAGCAGAAGAAGCCGTTAACACCACAAAAAAGCATAACAAAATGGTAGCAGTAAGTTGATAACCTATCAATACTCACACTGAATGTAAATGGTTTAAATGCACCAATCAAGAGACAGAGAGTGGCAAGTGAAAAAAAAAATGAACCATCGATGTGTTGCCTCTGAGAGACACACCTTAGACATAAAGACATAAGTAGGTTAAAAATCAAAGGATGGAGAGTGGCAGAGCAAGATGGCGAAGTGAGTGTATGTTCTCATTTACTCCCCAGGCAACTGACTCACGAAGAATGAATAGAAACAAGCACAGACTGAGATCTCAGAATTCTGGAGAGCACCTTAGCTGTTGGAGAGTCAGGCTGAGTCCAGAAGCAGGGGAGAGGAGGAACAAGATCAGCACAGAAGCTGGGAGATCAGGAGTGCTTGCTTGTCACAGCCATTTTGGGATTGGGTTGGGTAATACCCCAAACAGGGAACACAGAAAAGGAGCTAATCTGAGGAAGCGCTAGCCCAGTTTTTTTTAAGACAGTGCAAATTGGCCATGGAAGTATGCAGGCTACACCATTGGGAGGGAGTGAAAGGAGACCGTGGTGCTGTGTGAGTGCTGTTGAGTCTCACTGAGGCCCGAGGCAGACAGGAACTAAAACTGAAAGGAACTGCAATGGCAGCAGGGCGAGGGGAATGCCTCAGACCAACAGGATGACAGAGGGAACAGCCCACACCTGGACACCATAGGCAAGGCTGTGCAAGGGTGCCCATGGAGGAAAGATGCAGAGAGCGCCCCACCTTCACCATAGCAAAGTCAAGCCCCACCACTTATGTCAGCATCTGCGACTAGCTAATCCTCCCTTTCCACACATGTGTATTGCATTCTAGAATTCAAATGTCCAGGACTGAATCAGCACTGAAAAACAACTAAGGATAAGAGTGCCACCTAGTGGTTCTCAGGAGAAGATACCAAGCCCACTGCAGCTCAGTCAGTCTGACTCATAGTGAATTTGTGGAGCTGAGAGAAGCTGCCATGTGGGGTTTCCAGGCTGTGAATCTTTGCAAAGGCAGTATGCCACATCTGTCTCCCATGGAGCAGCTGGTGGATGCAGGCTCCAGCCTTTTAGTTGACAGCCGGGCGCTTGGCAGCTACACGACTAGAGCCCCAATAAGAAAATTTTCCCACAATAGAGTACAGAATTTAAAGAAAAAAAAAAATTGGCCCAAGTTCAACAAAAGGTAGTAAAACACATAAAATCCCAAGAGAAGAAGGAACAATCAAAAGCAAAACATGAAAGAAAATCTCCTCTGTGGAGGCCAGAATAATGCAGAGGTGATAATTTTCAGACTGTGGTGCTAAATATGTTTAAAGAAACCAAAAAGCACACAGGAAACTAACTAGCAGAGATCAAGAAACAAATGGAGGAACAAAATGAGAGACTTAACAAGGAAATTGAAAACATCAAAAAAAAAAAAAAAACTGGTGGAACTGAAGAATAGAACATCTGAATTCGAAAAAGCAAGAGAAACAACAACAGACTTGAACCAGACAGAAGATAGAATAAGTGAACTAGAACACAAAATAACTGACCTTATCAAGTCTCAAGAGAAAAGAACAAAGAAAAGCAAACAAACCCAAAAGGGAATGTGGGATTCAGTTAAGAAATCTAACAGAATTATTGGAATCCCAGAACACCATAACAACAATAAAAGCACAGAAACAATCTTCCAAAAGATAATCAGAATTTCCCAGACCGGAACAGAAAACCAAGCCTGCAAATACAGGAAGCTATACAAACCCCAACCAGAAGAGACACAAAAAGATCAACTCTTTGCCATATCCTAATAAAATTCTTGAAAACCAAAGACAAGGAGAGAATTCTGAAAGTAGCAAGAGAAGAACTCAATATAACATACCAAGGGGTCTTTCATAAGAATCAGTGCAGATTTCTCCTCAGAAGCTCTGGAGGCCAGAAGACAATGGAGTAACATAAATAAAATACTGAACCAAAACAACTGCCAACCAAGAATTCTTTACCCAGCAAAGTTGTCATTGAAAAACCAGATAAACCAAGACTTTCCCAAACAAACAGAAGCTCTGGGAATATGCTACTGTCAGACCAGCTTTGCAAGTGTTACTCTAGGGAATATGCCAAAAAGAAAGGTAAGGGCATTAAGAATAAGCACAAAGTAAACTTACCAAATATAGGTTGTGTATTGATGTTAGTAGAGATTAGAACCCTTATCCATTGCTGATGGGACTAAATAAAACGGTATAATCCCTATGGAAAATGGTATGGCACTTTCTCAAAAAACTAGAAGTAGAACTATCTTATGATCCAGCTATCCCACTACTACGTATATACCCTAGAGACCTAAAAATAATGACACGAACAGACATGCACACCTGTGTTGATTGCTGCTGTATTCACAATAGCAAATAAATGGAAACAGCCAAAGTGCCCATCAACGGATGAATGGATAAGCAGTCTGCGGTACATACGATAGAATACTACGCAACCATAAAGAAGAGTGATGAGTCCACGAAACATAACATGGATGGACCTGGAGAGCATAATCCTAAGTGAAATAAATCAAGCATATAAGGACAAATATTGTATGATCTCTTTTTTAGAAGAAGACAAGAATAGATAGACTAATGTTCATTGGTGGTTACCAAGGAGAGGAGAGGGGATGGCTCAAGTATGCTATATACTCTACTATAGAGACTAGTTATTTTTGCTGATGGGAAAAGTGGCTCCAAATGCGGATGTAGTGAGCAGAGCACAACCAAAGTAAAAAGTTTTTGAACACATATGGATGAGACATATTGGTATATGGGTAGGTACAGGTGTGTACATAGGTGAGAACAGACAGAAGTATCTGTAGGTATGTTGAAATACAGTTTTGTGGGTGCAGGCACATATATTCATTGAAGACACAAATACAGATACTCCTCAGACATAACCAAATACTTTCCAACACTGGTTTTCTGGATTTGAAGGCTTAGGACCATAGTCTCATGGAACAGCTGAGTCGATTGGCATAACATAGTTCACAAAAATCATGATCTGCATCCTAGTGAAGTGAGTAGCATCTGGGGTCTTAAAAGCTTGTGAGCAGCCATCTAAGACACAACTACAGACAGATCTCTACTTGCAAGGAGAAAAACATTGAAAAGGTAACCAAAAGAGAAGAAACAAGTCTACACGAGCCAAGACCTCATCTACCCTGAGACCAGAAGAACTAGATGTGTCTGGCTACCACCACTAACCGTTCTGATGGGGGTCACGATAGTTGGTCCCAGATAGAATGGGAGAAAAATATGGAGCAGAACTCAACTTCTTATTAAAAAAAGAAGCCAGACAAACTAGAGCAGTAGAGAACAGAGGATTCCCTGACACTATTGCCCTGAGACACTCTTTAAACCTAGAATTGAGCCTATCCCCTGAGATCGTCTTTTAGTGAAATAGCAGAGTGGCACACAAAATAAAGGATATTACCCGTAAGATCGGTGCCCTACTTAAAAATCATTAGTGTGAGACCAAAATATCAACAATTACTCAAAAGCAAAGATGAGAAGATAAGGGAGCAGGGAAAATACAGTACTGGAAAGGGAACAAACTGAACACAAAGAGAATGTTGACACATTGTGATAAATGTAACTAATGTCACTGAATAGTTCATGTGGAAATTGTCAAATGGGAACCTAACCTGCTGTGTAAACTTTCACCAAAACTCAATAAAACGTTATTAAAAAAAATAAAAGGATAGAAAAATATATATATGAAGCAGACAGTAACCAAAAGAAATCAGGAGTGGCAATAATAATCTCTAATAAAATAGACTAAGTGAAAATCCATTATAGGAGACGAAGAACGGCATTATATAATGATTGAAGTGTCAGTCCACCAAGAGGACATAACCGTAATAAATATTTACATACCCAATGATAGAGCTCCAAAATACACAAAACAAACTCTTAACAGAACCAAGAAGTAGTTCTACAATAATAGTATGTGAGTTTAACACACCTCTTTCAATGATGGACAGAAAAACTAGAAAGAAACTCAACAAAGTTACAGAAGGTCTAAATAACATAACCAACTTGACCTCATAATATACAGAACACACCACCCAACAGCAGCACAGTACACATTTTTCTCCAACGCACATGGATCATTCTCCAGAATAGACAATATTTTAGGCCACAAAGCAAGCCTTAATAAATTGAAAAACATTGAAATAATACAAGGCATTCTTCTCTGATCATAATGCTGTAAAACTAGAAATCAATAACAGAAAGAACAAGGAAAAAAATTAAATACATGAAACTGAATAGCCCCTGACTTAAAAATGCTAGATGTTTAGGGACTTAAATATAGTGGTGTTCTCCCAGGGGGAAAATAAACACAGAATTGTAGCATTTGCCAATGTCTGTGGTGTAAATACTCCCATGATGGTTCCCACTATAATGGTCTATACAAGCTTGTTCGAGAACACCACTGCTTAAATTTCTGTGCTTTTCTACTTTTTACAGTCGTTCACGTTGAAATTTGCCAGAATATATCCATTAATAGTTTGTTTTTAATTTCATAATTATGTGGAAAAGGCAGCATCTCTCTATTTTATGCTATTTTTAGCTGTTGGCTTAAGGTAAAGCTTTTGTTTCAGATTAGCTATTGATGATTAGGTTCTGAGTTGACCACTGTGCCTTCACACTTACATTTGTTTTGTTTTTTTAGGGATGAAGTAAAAGAAATAATTCTTATTCTGGTGAAAATAAAAGCTTTGAATCAAGCAGAATCCTTCATAGAAGAATACCACCTAGACCATCTTAGATCACTAATTAAAGAAGTTTGAGTAAATTATTGTAGAAAAATACTAAAAGTGAAATTTTAATGTAGTCACACTCAGTTTCTGGCTTGAAAAGCAGCTTGTCCCTCTTTTTTATTCCCTGTTATAGAGTGGAGGACTGGCCAAAAAAAAGCCAAACTCCATCCCTCCATTCCCTACCTCCACATTCTGCCTGCTGGTATCCGGAAAGTCCAAGTCTGAGGCTGAGGTGTTTGAAAGAATTAAATGCACAGAAGCAACAGGTTTCCCTGTTTAAAAAAGGAATTTAAGAAACCTTGCTTATAGCTGTTTTGGCTTAGGTGAGCATGTTAATAATAATCTAGCGCTTGAACCATAAAACCTTCTTTTAGTTCTTTTCATTTTAACCTCTATTTACAAAAAAAAACTTGAAATGGACATCTTAATTGGAATGAATTAGTTGCTAAGCGTATTAATTAAGGCATTTTACAGCTTTTGATAACTAATGATTGTCAAATTGCCCTTCAGAAATTTGTACCAATTTACTTTGCCAACCCAAGTGTGAGAGAGTGCCAGTGAACTCCCACCAGCAATGGTATTGTCTTTTTTTTAATAGCAAATTTTATTGGTGAAAGAAATATGTTGTCATTGGTGGTAGGCTTAGAAAGGAAACAGGTATTTTAGATACTTAGAATGTGGGATTCATTTTCTGATAAAATATATAACTGAGGAAGTCTGAGGCAAAGAAATTAAGAAAACTTTTCAAGGCACAAGAATACTAGTAATTTTTTAATTTATTTGTTAAATAATTCAAGGGTAACTCTAAATATATATTTTGCAAATTTTTGCCCCTTCCAAAGATATAGGGTGGAAATTATGTTGTAGGATTTGAGCATCCGGCATCTGACATTATTACCTTTACTTTGGAAGCCACATATAATGTAATAGTTTGGTGTGTTATTTTTATTAAATGAAGACTCCTGAGTCACTAGTGTGAAGGATTTTTTTTAAAATTTATTTTAATTACGTAAATTATACAGGAATAGAATCTCCTCTAGAAAACTGAAACCATTGCTGAAAAGCATTCCCTCACAGCTGCCGTCCTCAGGTCCTGACTGTTTTCATTTTAGTGTTTTATTTTCATAACCTTTTTTCTGTTTCCAGAAATATGTGTATGTATGTGTGCATGTGTGTACATACAGCCTTATGTTTTTTACATAAATGGCAGATATTTTATTGCATATGAAATTTGTTATTTTTTTACCATTAAAGTGGACATTTGGAAATTTCCCTCTGACTTTTGCATTTTTAATTAAAGATACGTTGGATGCATTCCCTTGCATTTTTAAGTAGAGTGGAGAGACTTCTTTTGCTTTCTTAGACTGGAAAATATAACTGCTTTCAAAACTACAAAGCAATTTAAACTACTCTGTTTTTAATTAACTTTCATTATACTTGGAGTTTGAACTTCAAGGTTTTTATCTGTCATGTGCTATAGTTGAAGATGTTTAAAAACATTTTTGAAACTTGCCTAATCCTTAGTGCAGAATTTTTTTGTTTTTAGTGCAGAATTTTTTTGTTTTTATTGTTGTTACTATGAAATGACTGAAATAAAGAAAAGGAACACAGCTAGCAAGAATAAAACTTAGGACTTGCAACCCATGTCACATCCCAGTTCTTTCCCTAGATAGTTTCAGATTTTTGTTCACATAAATAATGAGAAGTTTTTATAGAATCAGACAAGATAACTGTGTTCTTGTGGGGGTTTTTTGTTGTTTATTTTTTTTCTATAATGCCTGTTTAAAAAACCCGTTGCTGTGGAGTCAATTCCAACTCATAGTGACCCTATAGGACAGAGTAGAACTGCCCCTAGAGTTTCCAAGGAGCAGCTGATGTATTTGAACTGCAGACCTTTTGGTTAGCTGCCGTCGCTTCCCATAGCTCTTAACCACTGCACTACTAATGGCTGTTAGTAACCTCAAAATGGCCATGAGAAAGCACCTCATAATGGAGTTGTGGATGCATTTTTTTAAGCCCTTAACAAAATGACACTTACCTGTATGAAGCCCTAAGAAATACTATATATGATACAAAACTTGAAAAATATATTACAAGAAAATGACAGACTAATATCCCTCATGAACACAGAAATAAAAGTTTTTAACAAAATATCAGCAAATTGAATCTAACAACATATAAAAAGATAATACATGATGACCAAATAGAGTTCATTCCAGGAAGGCAAGTTTGGTTTAACATTGGAAGTCAATCAGTATAATTCACCACATGAGAATAAAGGAGAAAAACCATATGATTATCTCAATAGATGCATAAAAAGCATTTGACAAAATTCAGCTCCCCCTCATAATAAAACACTCAGCAAACTAGGGATGTAAGTACCTCATGTGCTAAAGGGCATCTGTCAAAGACATCTATACCTAACAATGGTGAAACATTAAATCCTTTTCCCTAATGATTGGGAAAAAGCAAGGACATCTGCTCAAATCATTTCTATTCAGCATTGTTTTGGAGGTCCTACCCATGCAATAAGTCAAACAAAAAAAGGCATAAAGACTTAAATACAAGAGTAAGAGTCATTCACAAATGACATGATTGTCTACATAGAAAACCTCATGAAATCCTCCCCCCACAAAAAAAAAAAAAAAATCTACCAGAACTCATCAGTAAAGATCATAGGGTACAAAAATCAAAGCCAGGGGCATGCTAGTGATCTGATTGGAAACTTGAATTTTTAAGAACAATTATATCTTCAGTAGCATCAAAAAACATCAAATCCCTAGGATCAAATTTAGAATGATGTGCAAGACCTCAGCGCTGAAAACTACAAAACTTTACCGAGAAAATTATACTTTACTGAAAAACGGTGTATTCATGAATTGGAAAACTCAGTTTGGGCTAAGATGTCTATTCTCCCTAAATTGATTTACAGATTGAGTGCAATTCCTCTAAAACTTCCATCAAGCTTTTTTGAATGGGAAAAAAAAAAAAAAGCTGATGATTTTTTAGAAATTCATATGGAAATACAAATGTCCTAGGACAGCCAAGGCTGTTCTGTTGGGGAGTCCCAAGGTGGTGCAAACAGTTAACATGCTCAGCTGCCAGCTGAAAGGTTGAGGGTTTGAGTCCACCCAGAGGTGCCCTGGAAGAAAGGCCTGGTGATGTACTTTTGAAAAATCAGCCATTGAAAACCCTACGGAGCAGTTCTACTCTGACACAGCAGAATCCATCAAAAGCAACTAGTTCTATTAATGTGTATAATAACATGAATAAATCTCAAAAATATGATTAAATGAAACAAGTTAAATACAAAAGAATACACACTATTATTCCATTAATATTAAATATAAGGAGAGACATAACTAAGGTGATGGGGGAATGGAAAGGGACACAAGCTTTCCGAGGCAATGGAAATGCTCTAGATCTTGTTTGAGTGATAGATTCATGGATGTTAAAAACTCATCTAAGCACTGCCTCTAGCTCACCGAGCTCTAGCCAAAGAAGGGGTAAGTGAGGAGGTCTCTATTCCATGGCTCATACAAAGCGACTGCCTGCAAGTCAACCATGGTAAAGCACCCAGGAAGCAACTGGCTACAAAAGCCGCTCACAAGTGTGCCCTCTACTGGAGAAATGAAAAAACCTCATTGTTACAAGCCTGGTGCTGGGGCACTCTGTGGGATTAAATGTTATCTTTCTGATTCCCAAACTTCCTCTCCAGCGTCTGGTGTGAGAAACTGCTCAAGACTTCAAAACAGATCTGCGCTTCCAGAGCGCAGCTATTGGTGCTTTGCAGGAGGCAAGTGAGGTTGGCCTTTTTGAAGACACCAACATGTGTGCCATCCATGCCAAACGTGTAACAGTTATACCAAAAGACATCCAGCTAGCATGCTGCATACATGGAGAACATGCTTAAGAATCCACTATGATGGGAAACATTCTTTAAAAAAAAAAAAAAATTAGACTTCCAGGCAACATGGCGCTATAGACAGAAGCACCATGCTGTCCCTCCACAGCAAGGATCCAAAAAACTAAGTCAAACAGAGTCACACATGAATCCTGAAACCCTGAGCATCAAATGAAGAGACAAAGAACTCAGCCAAGCACCAAATGGAATAAGAAACTGACCGAGAACAGAGAGCGAGGAGAGATACATGCAGAGGTCTCCTATCAGCTAACGCAGCACAGATCCACCATCTTGGACTCCTATTGGAGATCAGCGAACAGGGGTACAAGAAAGCAGCTTCACGGGCTTCCAGCAGGAGACAGAACAACCAGTAACCAGATATATACGCTTTCCCACCCCCTACGCTTCTTCACCCCCCGTCAGCCTCCTCTGCTTCCTACAGCCACAGTCTCTTGACCGGGAAGCACTGGCTTCACCCCAGTGTTGCTTGGATTCCACCCGCCCACACTGGCCGACTCCCTGAGTGCCACTGGTTGGCTGCTGGTGTTGCTTTTTTCTGCTTCATTAGATTTCTTCCGTTCCTCTCACCACCTCCTCCTTTCTCTCAAACACCTGGCTCCATGCGCTATCTTTGCTTCTTCCTGAAAGACTGTGAAACACCACTCGACTGTGAAACTGCTTCCCAGCCTGTGCTGCCATGCTGATGGGACACCCGGGGCTTTTGTTTGTTCTGATTTGTTTGTTTTCTTTTTCTTTTCTCGGCTTGGGAGCCCCTTCTAGCCGGGCAGTACTGCACAGCTTGCGAGCTACTCCCTTACTCTGCACGGATGCACAGTGACATCCCTGAGGACATTTCTTTTTTCTTGGTTTTTTGGGGGTTTTTTGTTTCTTTGTTTTCTTCTCTTTTTCCCTTTCTTCATTTCCAGTTTCTCATCCCTCTATACTTACTTTCTCTTCCTATCTCCTGAATACCTGGTGCTGTGTGACACCTCTACCCCTTCTAGCAAGGCTATATTTCATGGCCTGGGAGCAACTTCCCCAGTCCTAGCAGACGCACCAGTAGGATCCTTGGGGGCTTTTCTTCCTTTCCTTTTTTCCTCTAATTTTTATTTATTCATTTTTTAATTTTACCCTTTTTTTTTTCATTTTCATTTTTCTCCATTTCTCAGTCTCTCCTCTCTCCAATAGCAAGCTCCCTTGGCACTCTTTTTTGTGTGTATGCTTTTGGCTCCTGTTACTCTCTCCTCTTTTCCATACCCATCTTAGCTCTAAACATCACAATCTCCCCCCTCCTTCCTGCCTCCCTGCACTGTGCGCTGAACATCACTCTCAAGCAGCACAGGCATGGCCTACTGGAACCTGCCCTACACTGATTCCCAGTCCGCCCTGTCGGCCCTAGTACGTGCCACAAACAACCCACCCCAACAACTCCCCTTCAGCTGGACCTGCTCTGCTGTACCATACCTGAGTGACTGACCCTGCCCATTGAAGGAGGTGAAAAGTATCGTGCCCAGAGATGAGCAAACAACAAAGAACACACAGCCTGCCTGCTCAGATATAACCAAATAAAACAAAAAATAGGACAAAACAAACAAATCTACAATCAATAAATAAAGAAAATTACTGAATGCCCTGAAGACAGCGGGCAATATCAAAACATATACAAAAACAGGACAGGATGGTCCCACTGGGCACCCAAAATAAAACACTAAATGACTTTCCAGTAGAAGAAAAGGCACTAGAACTACCTGAAAGGGAATTCAAATCTCTAATATTCAGAATTATCCAAGAGTTGAAGCAAAAAGAAAACAAAAATTAGGAAAAAATAGACAAATTCATGGAAAATACAGACCAAAAAATGGAAGAATTCAAGAAAATAATACTGGGAACAAAATGCTAAAATAAATTCACAACTATAAATCATACAAAAACAACAATTAGGAATCCAAAAGCTAATAAGATTTCATAAATGGACAGTGTCATAGAAGGGCTGAAGAGCAGGTTTGAAAACAATGGACGACTGGATCAGCGAAATTGAAGACAAACACTTGGATATGACTCTGACCTGAGAAACCCATTAAGGCTAAAGTCATAAAGGAATACATAGGGACACACTTTTCCTGTTGTGCTAGAATTTTCAGGAACACACCTAGGATTTAAAAATAATAAAAAGCTATTAAAGATTAATTAAATTCCATAAATAACTGCCTTGTAAGGTGACCAGCCATCAGGTTTGCCCAGGACTGAAGGGTTTTCCAACGAAGTGTTTCAGTGCTAAAACTGGAAGTCTCCAGCAAACCAGGACAAATTGGTCACCCTATTGCCTTGATTGAACCACATTTCCTGGGCACTTTGTTTAGCTAGGAGCCCCAGTATCACAGTGGTTAAAGCACTTGGCTGCTAAATGAAAGGTCAGTGGTTTGAACCCACCAGCGGCTCCTCAGGAGAAAGAAGCGGAAGTCTGCTTCTGAAAAGATTATGGCCTTGGAAACCTTATGGGGTAGTTCTACCCTGCCCTGTAAGGTCACTATGAGTTGGAATCGACTTGACAGCAATGGGCTTGGTTTTTTGTTGTTGTTGTTGTTTGGTTTTGGTTTTTTGCTTAGCTGAACAACCTGGAGCAAAATTATGTCTTGAATTTCACCTCCATTCTGCTGTTCCTAGGCAGGCACCGTGTCAAGTGCCAAAACCAAACCCGTTGCCCTCAGGTCGATTCCAATTCCTAGCGACATTATAGGCCAGAGTAGAAATGCCCCATGGTGTTTCCAACGCGGTTATCTTTACTGAAACAGACTGCCACATCTTTCTCCCACGGAGCAGCTGATGGGTTCAAACCACTGACCATTCAGTTAGCAGCCAAGGGCTTAACCACTGTGCCACCAGGGCTCCTTACGTTAAGTGCAGTGGTTCTCAATTCTACCTATACAAGGAGGTTTTTAAGAATACTAACACCCATCCTTCATGCCCCAAATATTCTCATTTAATTAGTCTGAAGACTTTCAAAAAACTGACTTTAAGAGTTCTGACTCAGATACTGGAGTTTTAACATCAGACTAACCACCTGGCCACCAGCCTGTGCCACTTGAGAGAAGTTGCTTACCCCTCTGAAGCTCTCTGTAAAATAGAGTAGAAGCACCTGTCTTGCAAGGATGCTGTGAATGTTGAGATGTGAAATGCTGTTGCAAGGATGCTGTGAATGTTGAGATGTGAAATGCTGTTGCAAGGATGCTGTGAATGTTGAGATGTGAAATGCTCTTGCAAGGATGCTGCGAATGTTGAGATGTGAAATGCCTTGCACCATGCCTAGGACATAGGAGTGCTTCTAATGGAATAGAATTGCCTATCCCTGAAACCTCAAAACTTAGATCTTTTTTTCTAATCTTTCTAATGGGAAAAACTTCTTTTTGAACACTGAATTATACAAGACTCAGTGAGTTATTTCCTTTAAGCTACTAATTGTCTCATCACAACGGTAGATTTGCTTTATTCCTGGGGGAAGAATTTCCTAACAATTTTAAACACAACCTTACAGAGTGAAAAACATGACCGGTTGAGTGTTGTTGGTATGAGCACGTCCTTACAAGCTGATCGCACGTTTGCCACATCTTTAGAATTTTGAAGGGCTGTCTTAACAAACCCTGGTGGTGTAGTGGTTAAGAGCTATGGCTGCTAACCAAAAGGTTGGCAGTTTGAATCCACCAGGTGCTCCTCAGAAACTGTATGGGGCAGTTCCACTCTGTCCTATTGGGTCACTATAAGTCGGAATAGACTTGACGGCAGTGGTTTTGTTTTGTTTTTGGTCTCAACAAGTAATCTAAATAAGTGAATACCAGTATACCCATTGCTTGTTGAAAGTAATTAGATGGCTGTATAACAAACATTAGTGAAAAAAGATCAAGGAAGCAGCTGAATGTTGAGAACCCGAAGGGCTAATACCTGAAAATTTCTTTTGGAGAAAAATTACTGGAAAAATGGCTAAATACATTAATTTGTCAGATAAATTATTCACATGGCCATTAAATTATAGTATAGGGAAAAAGACAAACCCACAAGGAAGGAAAGACCAGGACAAGATACAACCAGTACAAAATGTTGAAAATCATATGAATGAGACATAAAACCACAAGGAAGGACAGAACAGGACAAGAGACAACCAGAACAAAATTTTGAAAGTTGAAAAGCATATGGATGGACCAGTAGACTTGAGAAAGGCAAATCAAACCAGCAGTAGAGAAAGGTGAGACTCAATCCAATTCCCCCCTCAGAATTGTCCAAAGGCTTGAGAACGGTCAGATCCAGCACCTCAGCAACTGGGGGTGAAGGACAGTGGTTAAAATAAGAACTTTGTCAAAACTATTTTGAGAATTAATTCCCTGAGATCCCTTCCCCCACTCCCCACACTGGCTGCCTACCCCTCTTCCACACCAGCTAAAGTCCAGAGGTGTATTCTCTGGAGAGGTTAAAAACGGGTTTTCCAAACTGCAGGGAATTCCGGGCACTGCAGCAGGGATGGGTACTGAGCCAAAAGCAGGGTGGGGAGATGGGGGCAGAAAGGCTGTAGACATGCAGGGTGCCAAAGACAGAGATCTCACCCTTCCTTCCCCACACAGCCCCCAGAACACTCGCAGACAGACCCTTGCCCTCCGGGAAGCCTGGAGCCCTCTTCTCTAGAGAATCTGACCAAACCAAAAGACACTAAAGTGGAGGAGAGGACTCTCCCAAAAGGCCCACACAGATAATCTTAAAAACAACCCCTTTCTACCAGTCTAAAGCTTACAATCAGCTTTTTAGTCCTCCATAAGCAGATAGTCAAGGATTTCCAGATGTCCTGAAAAAGCCTAAAACATAAAAAACAGAAATGACTAAACACAGAAGAAACTTGGAGGAAACAGATGCTTTGGGAGAACAATTTAAAAAACAAAAACAAACACTATCATGAATACTCTCAGAGGAAACAGAATGAATCCATAGACAAGAACATAAAATAAGAAAAGGGCAGTATATTAAAAAAGGAAGTTTCAGAAATCAAAAAGGGGTCCTGAGATTTTAAAATATGGTAGCAAAGAGTTGGAAGATTGAGTTTAGGTGCTAAAAAACAGAGATGACAAAAAAGAAAAGTTAAGAAAATTAGAGATTCAGTTCTGGAGATCCAAACTTCCAAATAACAGCTCCAGGAAGAAAGCAGCAGGGGAAATCATCGACAAACACAAAAAATTTCCCAGAACTGAAGCCTATGTTACCACATTGAAAGGGCTCACCAAGCACCCACCACAATGGATGAAAACAGATTCACACTAAGGCACATCCCTGTGAAATGTCATTATCCTGGGAACCAAGAGTCTACAAGCTTTCAAGTCACATACAAGAAGCAGAAATCAAAATGGCATTGGATTTTCTATTACTCTGGAAACAATGGAGCAATACATTCAAAATTGTGAAGAAAAATGATCTCCAACCTACAATTCTATAAAGTAACAGTCAAGTAGGATAGACGTGCATGGTCCAAAAATTTTACTTCCGTACATACTTCCTTTAGAAGACACTGAAGGATGTGCTCCACCAAAACATGTGAGTTACTAATAAAATGGAAAACATGGAATCCAGAAAACAGATTTACACAGGCAATGTGAATGGAAATCCCTTGATAGCTATGACCAAAGGGCAGATCTGAGAAGCATGATCCAAGAGACAGGCTGAGTTACCCTCACCAAGATCCATGCTACTACTACTGTCCTTTTAACCTGAAGAGCAGCATGCCCAGGTGATCCTGGTCGAAATGACCTCTAGGCTTGTCCATACCATGTGTGATTATGTCCCAGCTTTCATTCCACGCCCAGCTCATGGATCAGCAAAGGCACTCGTATCAACCCATGAATGTATTCTTTTGACTTACTCCCAAGAGCTAGAGTTTGATTCAGTCTACTCCCTCTGACCATGTTTCTGCCAGACACCCATTACCTAGCCCACACTATAATCAGATGCCCTGACTGCGGTGAGCCTCTGTGAAGCAGGACTCACTCATGACCTTAGCAATGAACTTGATCTTACTGATGGGCTTCCCCAAAAGTGGCTTTTATAAATTCTTAGGGAAGCTGAAGCCAGACTATAACCCGAAGACTGTTTGGTTCTCCCTGAAGCCTTCATGTAATGATGAAAATTTTGCTGCTTTATACTTGCTAACAGGTTTTTCAAAACGAAAAAAGAAAAGCAAGGGAATGAGTTAACACCAGATCAGGATAGTGCCTACATCTGGGAGAGAAAGGGATGCAACTGGGGACTCACAGGAGTCTTCCCAGATATACTAAATGTTCTATTCCTTAACCTGGTGGTGAGTGCAAAAATGTTAATTAGTATTCTTTAAATCATACTGTATTTATCTTCTGTATTTATGTTTTATTTCACAGTTTTTAAAACCATCCTCTCCACTCCCCTTGCTCAGATTCCATGCTCACTGAAGAGCTTTCTGGTGGTGGTTTAGCTTCCGCTGTAGCTTTGCCTCCAGGAAGAGAACGGACATCCAGACCACTTGGCATGTGTGTTTCTCTTTTTAAAGTAATATGCTGGTGTGTTAATTTTTTTTAAAAACAGGACTACTGAAATAACAAATGCTTACTGATTTAATGACTATGTTCTTATAAATGGAATGAAATTGGCCTCAAAATACATCTTCGGAAGAGTCAGTGTATCCTCTGTGAGTCACCAAGTTCGCTCTCAGAATCAGGACTTTTTTGATGCTTCAATTTCATCCCATACTGCAGCTTCAATTTTTGAAGTATCATATTCCCTCATCATATCAAACTCAAGCCAAGGCTGGCCCCACTTCTGAGCTTCTTTCATTTGTTCTTCAGTTAAATAAAGATCAAATCGGATTCCTTTAACATTAAATTGTGGACGCTCCCAGCGTTTGGACCAGGGCTTAGGCTTCATTTTTACTTTCAACTAAGGAAGACAGAAGGAAAGGAATAATTAGGCTGTGAGGCATAAGTAAAAATCTTCCTAAGTTTTCATTAAGAGTATTTCTTTCTTATTTTATACGTGAATTTCCAATTCCAAATGTACATCCCATACCTTATTAACTGGAACTTCTTGGTCAGATTCTTGTACTACTGGCTTCATATTCGTATCGAAAGTGCTATATTCAGGAAGGGCATCTCTTAAGTACAACAAGCTATCATCCAGCCGTTTCTCTAATTTGACCACTTGGATCTCCTGAATTCGAGGATTATAAAGTTGAAAGCAAATCTCAACACCTTAAAAAGAGAAAACATATTCTTAATGTAAGTCCAGATTCCTGCATAAGCCTCATACTATAGGGTTTTGCACATAGGAAATGTGATATAAATTCATAAAGAAATAGAAATAAACTAAAATCCACTTAGATGAAAAGTAGGAAATCTAAATTAATTAATCTAAAAAAAAGTCTTCTGTAAATATATTGAGTCACATAACTCTTTAATTCTGACAGTATTAACTTGAGAAAGTTCAAGTAAATTCTTTACTCTGTCATGTTCTGTTTATTTCCCAATTACCTGAATTAAAATCAACCGTCCATGTTAAAAGCAACAGGATTAATGATGCAAAAAGATAAGTAAATTTTTAATTTCTAACTTTGGTTCCGAAGCCCTTTTAAGGATAGCCTGGGTTTTTTAACACACTGGGGCCCTCCATAAGAGGCAAGCTAAGAACAGCTTTAGGTGTATCAAGATGCTACCAGCAATAGTTTAATATAGATCATCTGTATCATTAAACACTTAAGGGCAAGGGTGTTTGCTGAGGTTTCCTGGAATAAACCCAAGAGAAATACAAATACTGTTAACCAGGATCAACATTAACATCTAATGTTTAATAACAGCATTTGATCCAATATTTACTGTACACCTGTTCTGTCCAGGCACTGATCTAGCTGTGCCTATAGCAAAACAAGAAAGATCCTTCTCCTCCCAAAAAGCTTATATTCTAGTGGATGATGACGAACGATAAAACAAATCAACAAGGTAATTTCATACTGTGAAGGCAATACAGGGTATGACACTGTGGCTGGGAGGGGGCAAATTTACAGTCAAGGCAGGCCTCGCTGAGAGGATGATATCTGAATACTATAAAGGGCCAAGAATGTTCTAGGCAGAAAGAGCAGCAAATGCAAAAGCTTAGGGTGTCAACAAATTTCCCATGTTGGAACAACTAGGAAAAGGCCTATTCGGCAGCTGGAGCATAGTAACTTAGTGGGCAGTAATATAAACCAAGAGATGCTGCACGATTATATGCAAGAGAAGACGGTGGCATGGGCGAGAAAGTCAGCAATGGAGATGGAGAAATGTAGACAGAACTGGGATGTTTTGGAGAATGAGCCAAGAAAACATATCGATCGAATGGATGCGTGAAAGAGAAAAAAACAGCTCCTAGGCTTTAAGTCAACAGGTGGGCAGTGGTACCATTTCTGGAAATGGATAAGACTGTGAGAGGAATGCAATGTGAGGGAAAATAAAGAGCTCCCTACGAAACTTATGCTTATAAGATATCCAGGTGGAGATGTCAAACAAGATAGCTATATGAGCAAATCTGGAGCTAAGAAAGGGTCAGTCCTGGAGATATAAGTGTAGGAGTTATCATTATATGGATGGTATTTAAAGCCACTGGACAAGAAAGAACCACCAAAGAAGGGAGTAATGATAGGGAAGGACAAGGCAGGTTACAACAGTCAAAACGTACTGTAGTGAAGGGCAAGAGCAAACTAAATACTGTTTATTATGTGTCCAGTATTTCATATACAACATCACAGCTGACAGCCGATTAACCATAACCCTATGAGGTAGAAACTATTACTATCTCCATGTTAAAGAAGAAACTCAAACCCAGATCCATCTGACTCACATCTATGCGCATTTCTTTCTGTTAGAAGGCTTTTCCAAGTATTTAACCTGACTGAAGGCACAAGTTTCTGTCATCAATCCAGTCCTGCTGAGCCCCTACTACATGCAGAGCACCACCAGCCATTACAGGATAAGTAAGCCAGCAACTCCTCTCAAGTTGTCAATCTCTTTGAATATAACAACACATCACTGTTGGGGATCATGAAGCAAACAACTTTAAGTATGGAAACTTTACTGTTCTGCCATTTTGAGTCATAATCTTTCTACCATTTACTACTAATTTCTCTGCCTTATTAGGCATGGTACACAAACATAATTTTGCCTTTTATTTTAAATGCCTCCAAGTCTTATAAAACGGGGGTGATGACTGTGGCACTTGTTTTGTGTCATAATATAAAGCAAAATGGGGGCATCCGTTCCAGTAAATAACTCGTGAGGACATCACTATGTTTATCTTAACACCCTCATGGGTTATCTGTCCTAAAATGAGAGCCCCTACACTGCTTTCTAGTTACTTATCTCCTTCTGTGGTGCTATCATGGATGGAGAAGTCTACTTCTAACAGCTGTTATCTATGCAATGGAGGAAGGCTTCGAGAGAGCCTGTGGACTGTATTTAATCAGTAACCAACTTCCATACGATTCTAAGGCCACAGGCTCATGAAGAGCACTGCCATGTCTTCCCCTAGAGTCCCCTTTCACTTTCAAATTCCAGATGTCTTACCTAGAATAAAGAAAAAAAAGAAATGAATCCTGAGATAACATTTTCTAGAAAATCAAAATAATGAAATGAAACCCACCTTGTCCTTCAATAGTATTCCTAAGAATAAATGTAGCTCCTAGTCCTTTTCCTGATCTCTGGATGCAAATCCCCAGAAACTGGTTGATTTTTCCACTGGCATATGGGTCTGCTGTAGTAACACGAAGTATGCTTCCTATAAATTCAAAAGAGAAATGAACTTTTATATGAGATGCAGAAACGTAATACAGCATTTCTAGGTAACTTCTTTATAACTTTCTAAATACTCTAATACAATATTAAGTACTTTTACATGTGCAAAACCCAGATATGTGAAAAACAATCTTCTTCATGCCAAGAAAACTAAACTGTTAGGGACTGAATTGTGTCCTCACAAAATATGTGTTGGAATCTTAACCATATACCTGTGGATGTATTCTCATTTGGTAACAGGGTGTTCTTTGCTATTCTAATGAGGTCTTATCAGTGTAGGGTGTATTTTAAACCGATTACTTCTGAGATATGAAAGAGCAGCCTAGGCACAGGAAAAGGCACACACAGGGGGAAGACCAACAGCAGAGGAAGACTAGTCCACAAGCTCAGGAACTCCAAGGATGGCTGGCTAGAAAAGCTGAGACGAGGATTTTCCCGCAGAGCCGACAGAGAGATTGAGAGCCTTCCCCTAGAGCCAGCACCCTGAATTCAGACTTCTAGTCTCCTAAACTGTGAGAAAATAAATTTCTGTTCATTAAAGCCACCCACTTGTGGGATTTGTTACAGGAGCACTAAGAAAATAAGACATAACCCTTCAACCACTAATAATAAAGGTATCCAGCTCTTACTGACCAACATAGAACTCTGGAATGTGGAGTACTTTCCTCCTTTCTAACATATCTTTTCTTTCTATTTGAAATTTCAGAGGATTTGTTCTTCCTCTTGGAGGAATAAACTCAGGACTCAAGAACCTGTGAAAAACATTAAAAACAAAATTAAAAGACCATTAGAAGCAATATTGTTGCTTTACAAAGAAATGAAAGAATATATTGATGTTTTTTATTCTTCTCTAAATAAGAAAAGTTTATCTTTTTTCTAAAATTGTTGTCAAAGCTCATGAAAATACCTAACAATTTCAAAATCTGCCCTCAGTGTTAAAAGCTTCATTAAACCTCTACAGCATAAATTAATCCTTATAACACCCAGGTAGGTTTGGTATTATGATCTCCTTTTTTCAGATGAAGAAAGTGAGCCTTGGAGAAGGTAAATGACTGGAACCATTGTTATATATTAGTGAGGCACATCTGTCTGACTCCAAACCCTGTGACTATAACCACGGCCCTTAACATTGATCTGTACACGTTATAATAAATTATGTTGGAAAAGATAGAAAACATTTAAATCACCAGTTGCACACTGACTTTTAAAATAATCATGTTATTTTGTTGTTAAGTTGCTACTGAGTCAATTCCAACTCATGGTGAAACAATGTGTGCAGAACAGAAATGCTCCATATTGTTTTCAAGGCTGTGACCTTTCAGAAGCAGACTGCTAGGTCTCCCTTCTGAGGCACCTCTGGGTGGGTTCGAACCACCAACCTTTTGGCTAACAGTCAAGTGCTTAACCGTTTGCACCACCCAGGGACTACCCTAATCATCCTATTAACTGATTTTAAATTCATTATTAAATATTTAAGCTACAGAAAAAAGAATAAATCAACAACGCACTTAAACAAGTTATCAATATAGGTGAAGCCCCTGTGCAACCTTCCCTACTCCCTGTAGTTAATTATCATCATAAATCTGGTGATTACGCCCATCAGTTTGAGTTTTCCTCAACTTTTTACTTTGAAAATTTTCAAACCTACTGAAAGGTTGAGCAAATTTCAGACACAAGATGGTGGAGATTCTTACCACGGTACCATGTCTGGCCAGGAATTCCCACCTAACAGTTAGTGAGTTCTGGCCAATCCATTCCCACCCAGGATTAAGGATCTTTTGTGAGAACAAATCGACTCCAGAACTTAATAACCTAGAATATGTCTTTCACCTAACTTCACCAATTGTTAACATTTTACCTTATTTGCTTTATATATATACACATAACTTTTTTTCTAACACCATTTGAAACTGTCAAACAGCAATGTATTTCATCCCTCAATACTTAAGAAAGCATCTGCTAAGAATAAAGACCTTCTCCTACATGATCACAATAAATACCTTAATGACATCTAAGAAAATTAGCATTAACTCAGTAATATAATCAAATATATGGTTCATATTCAAAGGTATCTAACTGTCCTGGAAGAAGACTTTTATAGCTATTTGTTGCTCAATCTAAGATATGATCAGGCTTCACACACTATCTGCTTGTTAGTCTCTTAAATTAGTCCTATCCTCCCATCTTTCTGTTTTTAGAACATTGGCTTTTTTGAAGAGGCAGGGTCTATGTCTTACAGAACATCTCTGGATTTGTTTCATTGTTTCCACATGACTAGGCTGAGGTTAAACATTTTTGGTAAATATTACAGAAGTGATGATGTAAACTTCTAATTGTGTCACATCAGGAGAGACATAATGTCAACTTCCAACACTACTGATAAAGCTAGGTTTGATTGCTTGATTAGGGTCGAGAATTTCCCCCACACATTTCTTCATACTTTAAATATATCACACATACATATATGTGTGTCCGAGCAATATCTAATATTGTTTAGTGTGGTTTTAAAGGCACCCTGGTGGCTCAGTGGTTAAAAGCGCTTGGCTGCTAATGGAAAGATCAGCGGTTTGAGCCTACCAGCCGCTCAGAGGGAAAAAGATGTGGCAATCTGCTTCCATAAAAACTACAGCCTTGGAAACCCTATGGGGAAGTTCTACCCTTTCTTATCGGGTCACTATGAGTCAGAATCGACTTGACGGCAATGGGATTGGTTTGGTTTAATGTAGTTTTAAGCTTCATTAAAAAATGGTATATCAATTATTTTGCAGGTTCTTATTCCCCCATGTTATGTTCGTGGAATTCGTCCATATTTAGAAGTTAGCTCTAGTTCATTAATTTTTCAGTGCTGTATAATATTCAATTATATGAAAGTATTTGCCTATTTACTTAATGATGGATGTTTCAGGTGCTTCTATTCTAAAAGTTTGTTTCTTACAAACAATACTGTTGTTGTTAGGTGCCATCAAGTTGATTCCGATTCACAGCAGAGTAGAACAGCCCCACAGGGTTTCCAAGGAGCAGCTGGTGGATTTGAACTGCTTACCTTTTGGTTAGCAACCAAGCTCTTAATCACCACACCATCAAGGCTTCACAAACAATACTAGTATGTTAACTCTTGTGTCTGCTTGTACATATGTGTGAAAGTTTCTTTACTTTATATACCTTCTGAGTAGAGATGTACACATAACTTACAAAATTTTGCCAAACTGTTTTCCAGAGTAGTTATACAATTTACATCCCCATTTAATTTTTACTAGGTGTTGCTCTTTAAGAGAAGAGAGCTATTTCTTTTCTAACTTCAAAAAAAAAAAAAGTTGTATTAGTAAATCTTTTCTGGGTCTATAGGTTCCATAAATCCAAGTTTATTTCAAGTTAGAACTCCAGAATATTTGAAATGTTAAACCCACAGAGATCATCCAATTAACAATCCAGAACCCTTTCAGAGGACATGTAATTTTAAAAAGTCTTTACACAGCTCTGCAGGAACAACTTCTACAAATCCTAGTTCATCTAAATTAGCATGTAGATCCAAGGCTACCACCATTCATTTCTGTGAACAAGGCTTTTACGCACTCTGTTTTGAAAAACAAATTTCAGACGCAAGTTGGTAGAGATTTTTATCACGGTTATCACATCTGCCTGGAATTCCCACCGAAAACAGTGAGTTCTGGCCAATCCATTCCCATCCAGGCTACACAGTCTTTTGTGAGAACAGATTAGCTCCAGAACCTAAACAGGTATAAATAGGATGGGTCACAGAAAAAAACCTCTGGTACAAGCTAAATGCCACAGAGTTGAAAGAACTTTGAACCTGGGGAATCCCCACTTTTAAGTCGTATTTATAAGAATGGAAAGAAAGTTCAGTACTGGCTGGGGGAAAAGGGACGGAAACAAACCTGAGTTGGATGCGCTTTACACACACGACCTCATGAATCTTAAATACAAGCCCGTGGAGTGGGAGTTCCAGCCCTCGCTTCCGGGCCGAGACCCTCGAAGCGAATACTCATTCATGCACCCCTCACCAAGAAGCAGGAAACGCGCCCAGACCGGTGTCTCACCTCCTCTCCTGGCGCTGGGTGTGGCGCTTGTCCACGATGACGGGTTTCGGCGGTGGCTGGAACGTGCCGGGCCCCGAAGGCCCAGTACTCTGCGGCCGTACCAGCTCCATGTGGGCCCCTGCGGGAGCAAACAACGGAGGTCAGGCCTACTCGGGCGCCCGCACGATCTCCGCCAACCCGCGACCCCACAGGGCTCTCCGCCGAGGTGCCCCTAAACTCCTGGCCGTGGGCCGCGCAAGCGGGAATCCCTGCCACCAGCCTGGCCCCGATCCCCTCCCGCTTCCCGACTCGCGAGCCCCCCTCGGCTTACGGCAGACAACAGAGGCCGGTGCACGGAGCAGCACCCTGGCGGTTCTGAAGTTCCGGGCCAGGCCCACCCCGGCCCCATAGCCCCCTGCAATGCAGGCTGCCATAGCCGCGCCTCAGGTCGAGACTACAATTCCCAGTAATCAGTGCGTCGAGGTCGCAGTCATCTGCTGTCGGACGGTGGCTGCTATAGGATAAAAGAGCCAAGTGTTTTTTCCCCTTCCTGTCTGGCTGTTCTAGAGAAAGCGCATGTTTCTCTAGTTCCCCATAACGTACCAGGCTTCGCCCCTCTGAATGGGTGCATTTTCAGCCTAGAAAGCCCTCCCTCCATCAACTCTTTCTTCAGTTTTTCAGGCAAGCCTTTCTTACGTCAAAACTCCCATTGTATGCTTTCATTAGCACTAGGTACCTTTCGTTAGTAGCTCTCATCTCCTTCGCAATTTTTCCTTTACTTGTGGAATTATTGGACTAGTGTCTGACTCCACTTTTATACTATAAGCTCAACGAGGACAGGGACAAGGTCTGCTTCTGCACCTAGGGCCTACCTGGCATTCAATAACTGTGTGTTGAGTGCAAGGGAAAAAAGAATAGTTTCTGACAGAACAGCTGGCACAAAGTACCTGGACCACAGAGAGCATTACCCTTTTGAGGAACTTGAATTGTGGCTAGACAACTCTGGGTGGGTGTGACTGGGACAGTGAAGCTGAAAACAGTAAGTTTTCAGTCTTGTTAAGAATTTTGGTATTTGGGTTCTTGGCAATGGTGAGCCACTGGAAGGACTCACAATTGCTGTGACGTGATTATGTAACTACTTACTACCGGTCATTCCAGAGTCCCTAGGTGGTGAAAATGGTTAATGCTAATTGAATGGTTGGAGGTACAAGTTCATTTAGAGGTGCCTTGGAGGAAAGACCTGGCTATTAAGAAAAATCAGCCATTGAAAACCCTATGGTGCACAGTTCTACTCTGACACACATGGGATCGCCTTGAGTCAGAATGGACTCCACCATCACTGGTTAACTGGTCATTTCATTTGGATTAGTATCTCACAGATACCTCAGACTCAACATGTCCATACTGAATGCATCATGTTCACCTTCAAGCATCCTCCCCGGTGTTGGCTATCTCAATAAATGGCATCAACATCCACTCTGTTGCTTAAGCCGAAAATCTCAGTGCCACCTTTTGACCCTTCCTTGTCTCTCCCTGAGTAAAGTTCCAAAAACTACATCCCGCACCATCAAATATCTCTAGAATTCTTATACTTCCTTATCTTCCCATTCACATCTCTAATCCAGGTCACCATCCTTTATCTTCAGGATCACTGCAAATCACTGCACTTGCCTTCTCATTGGTCTTCCCACCTCCAGTTCCCTCCAACCTTTCTCCACACAGCAAGCAAAAGATGGCTCGAGGATTCTTCTGCACTAACTATTCCCAGGTAGCGTGTCCATCATTCTTGTTATTACTGGTCCTATGGGGTAAAACCAGAAACCTGTTGCTGTCGAGTCGATTCCGACTCATAGCGACCCTAAAGAATAGAATTGTCCCAGGGGGCTTCCAAAGCTGTCAATCTTTATGGAAGCAGACTACCACATCTTTCTCCCTCAGAGAAGCTGATGGGTTCGAACCATTGATCTTTTTGTTAGCAGCTGTGCACTCAACTATTGCACCATCAAGGCACCTATGGTCCTATGGAATAGGACCAGAGAAATAAAAGACAGCCTTTACAGAAGGAGGGCAGGACTTAGTGAACATTTTTAAGTCATCCCTGCTTCTAACCTTTTTAAGGATGAAGGAATGGTTTTGTGCAGTTTTACAAAACTGGAAGAATGGGACTGAGGAATTTTATCTCATTGTCTCCCATATCCCTGCTTACCCAACATTCTTCTGGCCACTCTGACCTTATTTTAGAGTGAAGAACAGTCTGGAGTTTTAAATTATTCCACGAAACAAGTTTGCAGAGCAAAATCAGAGAAATGAGCACAGACTGAGCTGGCTCAACCATTTTGTGAGCTGATTACAGGAAAAAACTTTAATTATGTTACTTCTATATTTTACACTCATTGTAAGGATGGCACGAACGTCATTACATGGTGGTCAGTCAGAGGAAGAAAGTGTTCCAGGCAAACCCCACTTCGGGTTATTGTGACATCAGGAATCTTGTCTATTTTGCTCATAATTGCATCCTGTACGTCTAGCACAATGCCAGCACTCAGTAAATATTTCCAAGTAATATTAGAAAGAGCATTCCAGTTGCAATTTAAAAAATGGATAGGAGGCAGAAAACTATTGGAATACCCCAAGAGAGAGATATTGCTGGCCTGAAATAGGTAGCACAATGGTCCTCAAAGTGTGGTCCCTGGACCAGGTGCATTGGCACCACCTGGGAACATGTTAGAAATACAAATTCTCAGGACCCACCCTAGAAGTACTGTGGGTGGATCTCCAAAATCTGTGCTTTAACATACTCTCCAAGTGAGTCTGATGATTGCTCAAATTTGAGAACCCTTAGGGTAGAGACAATGGAGATAGAAAAAGATGGTTAGGAGATCACGTGGCAGACAAGGTTCTGGCATATGTTAGCTGTGAGACTTTGAGAGAGTTTCTTAACTTCTCTTTGCCTTAGTTTCCTTGTTGGTAATAAGCTACTACACCTACCTGAATGGTTGTTGTAAAAATTAAAATGAGATAATGTGTAACTATAGCTCTTCAGTACATGTTTGGATCATATTAAACTCGTAATAAATATAATTAGTATTAAACTTACTTTCAAGATGCAAAATGACTCCTAGTCCAGCAATAAGAGACTATAATCTGACCCATGTATTAACGTGCCCAAAGAAAGAATCTCTCATTCCAAAGAGGGGCTGGTCATCCATGGTGTCTAGAAAAACAGAGTCACAACATGAAATATTAAACAGTTAATACGCAGGCCCTTAGCCAAATTATGTGGAAAATTGCCAGGCCCATTGGTGAGTCAATCCTGGGGCAGAGATAGACACAGGGAGTTACAGCCAACAGATGTCTAATTGTCTGACTCCATTGAAGAAATTATCCCCAGTATAAGGTGGTCACCTAGCGAGTTGCCATTAAACATTTGAAACCTGTGTTAACCTTCCTTTGTTCTGATTCTATGTCTATAAGCAACCCTTGTGACTATTTGATGTTAAATTTTGCCTTTAGAGGGAGAAAGTGCTGATCACAGAGATAGGAGTGTTCTGGCATTCTGGCCAGTATTATTATTTTTTGTTTCTTCATAAATTAATAAACCAGCATTTGGTTTTGTTATAACAGTCTCATAAATTTGACTCACGTGAGTGTGCCCTGAAAGGTAAATCTATATACTGCTGTACTGACAAATCAAGTCCTGGGCTTCCAGAGCTAGGGCCATGACAAGTTCTCGAAGATAAAATCTGTGTGAGGCCTCATGGTATGTATTCTGCCTGGAGAAAGTACCTTGATACTGCCTTTTAAACCACACACACACACACACACACAAGTCACCTGTGTTAGTTATCTATTGCTATGTAATAAATTACTCCAAAATTTAGCAGCTTAAAACACAAACATTTATTCACCGTTCCATGAGTCAGGAATCCAGGAGTGGCTTAGCCGAGTGATTCTGGCTCAGAGTCTCTCACAAGCTGCAGTCAAAGTGCTGAAGGATCCCAGCACTTCCAATCTGCTTCCAAGCTCATTCACGTGGCTGCTGGCAGGCCTCAGGTCCTCTCTGGGTGTTGGTCAGAGACGACTGTTCTTGTCACTTGCACCTTTTCATAAGGTAGCTCAAAACATGACAGCCAGCTTCCCTCAGAGCAAGCCAGCAAGAGAGAGAGCAAGACAGAAGTCATGGTCTTTTTTGTAACCTCAGAAGTGACATGCTGTCAATATTGTCATATTCCATTCATTAGAAGAAAGTCACAAGATCCAGCTCACACTCAAAGGGAAGGGATTACCATGGATAGCAGGAGCAGGGATAATTGGCGGCCGTATTAGAAGCTGCCTACCATAAAGCCAAATATGCAAAAATATAATATTTGTCTTCTACCACCTACTCAAGATAGCAATGCAAGGAGTATTAAACAAGTGTCATAACCGTTCATATTTGTCAGTCTTTATATTGTTTAACTATTTAGGTACTGGCTCCCTGGTGGCACAGTAGTTAAGAGCTCGTCTGCTAACCAAAAAGGTCAGCAGTTCGAATCCACAAGTCGCTCTGGGAAAACCCTATGGGGCAGTTGTACTTTGACCTATAGGGTCGCTATGAGTCGGAATCCACTGGACAGCAATTTTTTTTTATTAGTTTTTTTTTTGGGAGGAGGGGCATTACTGAAATATTCTCAAAATTTGTGAGCTAAAGCACTCCAGCCCATCTTCAACTTAGTAAGAAATATCTATTTTCCCTTTTTCCTAGTGAATAGCTTTTACCTGGATTTGGATTTTGGACCCTAGTCAAGGATGGATGTTGACTCTGTATCAAATGGAGACTTAAATACAATCCTTTCCTGTGGATATTCATCCCGCAGTGTGATGGCGATGTGTGGGAGAAAGGGAAGGTGGATGTGCAGGGGAGACCAGACAGAGCGAAGTGTGAGGGGTAGAGACAGAGTAAGGAGGGGAGTGCATCTTCCTCACTCACTCATTCATTCCTTTGATCAGTCAGCAATTTATTCTTATTTAACAAGATTTTATGGCTCCTCTACTATGTGCCAGGCACTGGGCTAGGCTCTGGGGATACAAAGTTGAATAGTATGAGTGCTCTCATAATAGGAGGTCAGAGTGTAGGGGAGACACTGTAAAACAATGACAATATAACCCATCTGCTAAATACACAGGAAGAAGGCTGCACTGGGTCTGTTGGGAATACGAGAGAGGGGGAGAATGGAAGCTCGCAATGTGATACTTGATCTGAATTTAAAAGAATTCATGGGGCACAAGTTCTGCAGGATTATAATTCAGTATCTAGCTTAGAAGTTGGTGCTGATCCATGGGCTCATGGAAGAGCAAATGTGGAAAAAAGGCACCACACTGTCTTCTTTACAAGTCTCCCAATCTTACTTCTATGTTGCTTCCTCTAGTTTCTTTCTATCACACCATGGGCAGTGTTTAAAATATTTAACAAT